GGCAATGAAAGCGTAATGAAATCTGCCAGAAATGACCATTCCAATAATCAACAAATGCTTCTTGATCAAAAAAAAAAAACAAAAAAAACCAAAGAACAAGTGGGAAACTGAGACAATAGTTAAGTTATATTGAGTTTTATCTATTCCCTAAATGTGTATGATTTTGCTTTTAGCTTCCAGGGTTAACAAATAATGAAGTATACAATAAATTTCTCCCTTTTCATTTTCAGTCCCCCAGCTGGTCAAAACCTGTATTCCTAACCAAGCCTCAGGAAATTCTAGCTTCTACAGCTAAACTATGGCAAAGTTTCATGCAGCCACAACACAAAGCATGAAAGAGTGCAAAGTTCCAAAAGCCTTTCTAAGAGGAAGCATTGCCAGACATCTTACAGAATTCTAGTTCACTATGTGGAATTCACTGCTATGTAAGTTCAAAGTTAAAGAGAAGTTGTGGTAAGTGAGATTTGAAAGTGTTATCATCTTTGAATGCCATAGAAAAAAAAATACACAACTTCTGTGTCATACTAAGTAAAACTCAGAAATGAGATGTGTAGAAAAGAAGAAAATACCTGAAAAAAAAATACACAACTTCTGTGTCATACTAAGTAAAACTCAGAAATGAGATGTGTAGAAAAGAAGAAAATACCTGTATACCAAAACCAAAGAAACTACATGCACAAAACACAAACAAATGAACAAAAACCTGTGTGTAAAAAGGAAGAGAAGCAGCCACATCAGCTTGACTGTTGTGCCCAAATTCTGCTTGTAAAATTAATCCTCTCTATGAAGATGTTGTTATCTTAGGGCTAATGCTACAGGTACATTAAAAAATTATGTTTTGTTTTAACTCTTCCTCTCAGTGCTTAAAAAAGTACAGAGCAGCAACTTTGGCAAACTCTCTTTCTGGAGAGTAAATTTACAATGCCAGCAGCCCTGACAGTAGAAGTGAATCTGATGATTCTCATGAAAGTGTCAGTCAGGAATCTACTGCAAATACACAAGCACACAGTACGATGAATAGAAGAAATTTTAGCACTAGATGGCAATATACCTTTGCAAAATAATTCTCTGAGATGTCTACAGATATACGCAAACATTTTTCCAACTTCTGTACTACTGCTTGGTTCTTGTGTGGGTTTAGGTATACAGTTTTTATTTGGTTTGCACTAAAATAAAATATTCTTTTGTACCACGGTTTTTTTTTTTTTCCTATCTCATACCTTCAGTTAAGGTAAAATACTACTGTGATCCAGAGCTAACGAAACAGAGAAGATTCACAGCTTAACTGAAAGGATGCAATGAATTATTGACTAGTCACTGTGTAAAGTGAAGAAGCACATGATGAACCTTCTTGAATTCTGTCCAGCCTGGTGAAACAAAAATCACAACAGAGCTTGTTTTTGTGGGCTGTCACCTTGCATCTATGGAATCAGAACATGAACTTCATCACTTACCTGTTAAAATCAAGACTCTTTTCAATAGCTTTTTGTTCGTTTACCTGAAGCATTCACGCTGCTTCTTCATTTAGCGTTCATATTTGAGAATGTAGCCTTCACTGAGGACCAAGTCAGTTATGCAGGTAGAACAGCCTGTATAACTGCAGTTAACCAAGCACTTTGGCTGGCTTACCTGCAGTCAGCACCTTCCCCAGGTCCTTGGAAGGCCCAACATGTTATTAGTCAAACTTTCAAATCCACACTTCATAAAACTAAATCCGCCTGTATCAACTAAGCTATTAATTGATAGCACTAATTTATACTAATTGGTAGCTTGGTTTCTCAGCAGTGGAAGCAGCTCACAGAGGTGTTGGCTAACTCCACATGACCTCAAGTCACTGTCTCTTCTTTTTCTGCAAAAATGAGTCATTGAAGCTGTTACCACTCACTCACCCACCCACGTCCTTGCCAGTATCTCAGTAAGTAGCAGATTCCAAAACAAAACAACTGATTACCTTCATTACTGTCTGTTCATTGCCCTATAGGAAGCTTGTTCCACATTTTTGCACTTTCATGGTTTGTTTGTGCTTTCTACAGATGCCTGTGTGAAGACAAACATGGACAATATTGCAATATAATATGCAAGAAGATGGAAAGTCTTTTTAATTAACTTTATAGAGCAGATCAAGGAATCTGACAGAAGCAGCTCAATATTGCTTCCAAATTAAACAATTCTCTCTCCAAAATGTCTCAGTACCTATCTCTCTAAAATTCAGTACTTATTCTATTTTGATCTAAAATGAGATAAACTGTGACTTTAAGCAAATACACATATATATATATATATATATATAAACAACCTTACTGACAAGTTAATGAAAATGTCACTGACAAAAGTCACACCAGAAATGCCAAGCATAACTTCAAAGTGGTACCACAGTGCAGCCTGCCTAGTACTAATGGCCACGTGCACTGACATAAAAACAACAGCCTTCCATTGCCACTGTTCTGATAGATTCACTCAGAAAAAGTTTGTGTCAATATTTAAATCAAACACTACTTCTTCAAGAAAACACCCAACCAAAACAGATTTGAGATGTGTCATTAAAGTACACTTGTATCTTAGCATAGAGTGTTCCACTGGTTAAGATGAACACAAGCAAAAATGCAAAATTTAACAAGAGTCCACAGAGACCGAAGAAAGAGAATAATATGGAAACAGAATAAGCAGGAAGGATGAAATATAAGCTTCGAAGCCAAAAAGTAATTTACTAATTCTTCACTTCTAATTCAGAATTTAAAAATTGAAACTATTGTTGTAAGTAGACCGCACTCATCACCAGCAAGGTGCAAAACCTAAAAAAATTCTAGTTTGCATTTTACCTCAGCTTTGGTTTTTATAAAATTATTTTTGTTTTATTTCAATGGAAATCTAAAAAAACACATTATTGAAAGAACATATCTTCCCTTCCCTGTATTTGCATTTCAAATCTTGCAGCATTGTGCTAGGGCACGAACAGAAATCATTCCAGCTGAGCAGAACAATTGCTTTAATCACAGTTATTGTATTCTACCTCCAAGTTAAATATAATTATTAAAAATTAAAGAAAGCAGGAACCCAGCCCCTCCCCCTTCCCACCACCACCCCCCCAAGTATTCCAAGGTATACAAGGACAAAAGCTTGATGCTTGATTACACACAGTGAGATTGCTGTTTGGACTTATGTCAGCACCTGGATGGAAACACTTCTGGCCTTAGTACAAGACAGACAGGTATGATGATGGCTATCTGAAAGAAAATGTTCTTCTCTTCCTTCAGTACTCAATTCAGCATGAAGCCATCAGTCTCATACAACACATCAGTAAGTCTAGACAATGTTAGCAGTGTAAAGACCTTTGTATCCTAGAAATTTGCTAAAAATCTTACTTCTTTCCTGCACTGCTAGTCTGGTTGTGTGATCCAGACCAATAAAGGTGCTTGAATATATTCATGCAATTTGTGAGGGGAAAAAAAAAGACAAAAAAACCCAAAAAACAAACAAACAACAAAAAAAAAACAACGGTGTTTACACTGCACAAAATTCAGCTTGTGTTTCAATGATGACCTGAGGCCAAAATAAACACCACTGTAAAGTAGTGGACTAATGTCAGCTTAATTCTGAAGTTACAGTCATCATCTGTTAAGGCACAACTACTAAGCTGCATCCTAATCTGCAAATCCCCCACAACAGCTTTGCTCCTCTTGAGTCATATACTTTGTCATGACAAAGGTGAATCACTCAAAACTGGAGATGAAGTGCTCACATTTCAAAGGAAGAGGCTTTACAATGCAGCAGAACTCCAGATGAAGATGGTATCTGGAATTTGATCTCTTTCTGCGTGGATACAAAGAATTTTTTTATTATTATTATTTATTTATTTTTGTTCTAGTGCTTTTTCATCAGAACAGCTGGAGGAAATGAATTTTAATATCCCTCTTTTTCTTTTACTTTGAAGCTCCTGTAAGCCAGTGTAACTCTATCAAAGATAAAGAGCTAATCAAAATCATACTGAGCAAGGATCTGGAGCAGCAGACGCACATATCCCAAACACATCTACAAAATGTAGATCAGATTGTGCTGAGGAGAACACCAGCAGAAGAGCAGTGTAAGCTTTCAGGGAAATACATGTGAAATAAGTCCATCAGCTTCTGTGTAGCTACTCTGTATTTCTATCAGTGTAACAGTGAAGAAGCCGACTGTTGTGCAAAAAACACATCACAGATTGATGTCAGGAGTGTAGCTTTGGGTCCAACCAGAGAAGGCTTACTGCCTTAAGAAAGACTGCAGCCTCACTGCTTACAAGCCTCAACACCAACTTCTTTCTCTCTTGTTTTCTATTCCTACTGAAGAAAAGTGATGGCTCCTGCCAACAGCAGCAAGAACATCATTGAGAGCTCTCTGGAGCTGAAGCTGCTGTTAATATTGCAGATTTCTTTATTTGTAGTCTGCAGATGTTCTATTGTGCTCATGCTGCTGACAAGATTCGATTCACCTCCTTGGGGAAGGTGAATGTGCCTCTTACCCAGTTGTAGAATGGATTGAGACAATACTGCATGCCAGCACTGAAATCATTAACAGAAAGTGTATATCTGATTAGGGCAGAATTCTTTTTGAGGTGATATATAATGTGTCCTGGTGAAACAGGCATGGTGACACAACTTACCTTTGTTCTCTGAATATACAGGATGAAAGAAGTCAGTGTTAAGCATTAGCCAAACAGAGGCAGTTGATACTTATCTATTTGTGCCTGGTGCAGGAACTGGCAGGCTCAGAGACTACTTGTCCCGTTACACGCAGGATTCAGAAATTGAGTGCAAGTGCAAAATACAATTTTCATTGTATGAATTTGCAGAACAACACTGACCCAAGGACGGAGAAAAGGGAGGAGGAGGGGAGATCACAGTTTCAGACTCCATCAAGCACAGCCAACTCCTCCCCTCTTAGCCAGATATCTACTGTAGCACCACGTCCAGCCAGGGGCCTTCCTTGGTGTGCAAAACACCTGGAAGCTACCAACCCTCAGCATGAGATCAAGGCAGCTGGTGTGTGGAATCTGGAGTCTGTGTTTCACGTTCTGCCTCTTCTGCATCTTTCTTCACCAAACCACAGCTAAAAGAAAACTGAAGTTCGTGTCCGTAGTAAGTATATAGTTCATGGACAAATGGACTTAAAAACCTGTCACTCTTTTTGTGGTCTGGAGTGTGTGTGTGTGTGTGTAGGGGGAGGAATATTTGTGAATATGTGAATACCAAAATGTTTACTTCATACTCAGAATCCACTAATGCATTGCACAAAGAACAATCCCCAATTATAAATAACATTTTATAATATTATCTCTTTTGTGCAGTCCTGGATGAAAGTAACCTTCTGGAACAATGGCATGTCTTTTTCTAACTAGCAATAAGAGAGGAGTTGCACAGCAGTATTTTTAAAATATAAAATGGGATTTCATAACTAAATTTCTATGGATTTCAAAAATACTCTTTGCCATGGAAGAATTTTTACTCTTCCTCTGTTTTCACTGCATTAACAAGCAAATCAGATTTCACTGTGTGAAAGCCAGACAAGCATACAATGGTACTGAATACACAACTGAGAAACACTGCTGTAAAATGAAAGCTACTTGCAGTGACTATGATGTACTGCCATTTGCATGAAGCCTGACTGAGGTCTGCTCTGAGTATCGCACAGGCAATATAAATTATCAGTACATTTTTTTCCTATAGTTTTCAATTAATTTCCCCTGCTTGGATGAATAAATCAAAAAGAATCTGGTGGTAAAATCTTAGGATGATACAACATATACATACAAGAATAATGTTGGACAAGGGCAGAATCCATCACAGGAATGAAAAATTTTGATGTACCTTTACAGATGTATCTTTTGTATGAAGGGAAATTTCAGAACGTGTTCAGTGTTTTCAAAGTAACAGTTCAGCCTGCATTCAGATGATAAATGACACTTTCTTTATCTTTTCTGGTGTAAAAGACAGCACAGGGCTTTTTAGGGCTAATTTCTGCCAAAATAGAGTGCTTAGCAGCACTCTGCCAAAGAAACTGTATCTCCAGTAGCAGTTTATTTTTCTTTCTTCTGAGCTCTCAGTCCCAACACAATGTTAATGTCCTAATATTCCCAGAAAATTATTTACATGTTTGTTTTCTCTCTGTCAATGCTGTAGTCTGTACCTCCTAACATACATAAAACATCTCTAAAATATATTAAAAAATTATAATTTTTTATAACTTGCAAACTAAAAAAGAGGAGTTACACCTGTCTAAATAAATCAAGCAGGTACTTTAGACCCAGACAGTACCTACTAGACAGTAAATACCACTACTATCTAAAGCACAGATAAGTATACTGAATACGTTTAGTATGTGTTAGTATTCACTGTCATGGCACAACTGTTGGGTCTGCACTATTACACCCACCATTAATACACCTGTAATCTGAAGAGAATTCTATCTGTTTTGTCAGGTGTTTCACCACGGCGATCATACCCCACAGGAGTTTTTTCCAACTGACAAGCACAAAGAAATTGCAAGGCAGCATGGATACGGACAGCTTACCAAGGTGTGTTTGTTGACATACAGAAATATATTTGGTTTTTAGCACTTTGTTTTAACTTCGATACAGTTCCTGTTAAATTGCCACATGCAGATCTCTTGTAAATAGAACTTACTGGGAAGCTGTGATTAGTCACTGATTTCAAAGACATTGAGTTGGCTGTTCTGGTCCAATCCCAGGGCATGCTGAGTTGTCTGATTGCAGACTGGGGTCTACTGAGAGGAGCCAGGCACTGGCAATTCACTTGAGATCAAACAGACAGTTTTAACCCACGGTGGTGAAAGTGCTCACAACCACCTTCAATTCCTGATGGGTAGGAATTCTTCCTAGCTTGTGAACTATTAAGGTCAGTATTAGCAAAAATGTCTCTCATGCTGTGCGAGGGAAAGTTGATTTAAAGCTCAGCTGGTTTAGGTGTTAGTGGGATATAAGTGGAATTGAGCTAGTATACCAGTATCAGCTGATGGTCTTAAATGGCAGCAAATCAAGCAACGGCAGATCTCAGCTGCAGAAACTCAGAAACTGTGTTTCTCCATTAACTGTTATTAGTATTAATGCCTCTTCTTGTAAATGGTACAAAGGGTGAGCTCCTGTGCTATTAGGCTTCGAAGGAATACAGGGACACCAGAGGAGTTTCCCTATGTCTGCTCTGCTCCCACCAACATTTTCTATTGTGTCTGCGCTTCCTTTCCTTTCCTGCCAAGATATGCCATTGACATGGAAAAATGCCTGAGTCATTTGTCCAGGATTTGGAAACCAGGCAGCCTCACTGAAGAGGTTTTGAGGTGCCAAAAGCTGAAAGGACCAAAAAAAGAGCTATTGTGTGTATGTTCACAGACTGTGAGCTATGTTTGCAGGCTGAGTGCGTGCCTCTGAGAGGTGTCTGCACAGTAAGTTTGCTCAGCAGTTTGTGGACACCAGCAGGTCCAGCACAATGAGCGTGTTTCTGTCTCCTGGAAGAACTTGTCACTGGCCAGGTCTCCAACAAAGTCAGGACAGAGCAAACTGCACGTGGGGCTCCTCCTCCATTCCATTCTCAGAAGGATGTAGCAATCTCTGAGGCGAGGTCAGGCCTGTTTTCCTCTCACACCATCTTCCTCGAAGAAAAAGGAGTAAGAGCTGAGGCAGCAAAGCTTGTTCAAAAGCAGAAAGCAACAAAGAATGTTTCAAAGGTGGTTAGGACCAGCTTCCTATGCATTAACTCAGCTATGACTCAAGCACTGCATATGTACGTAATGCAAGTTCAGCACAACATGCCAGCATGCTTCAGGCTTCGTAAGCTCTGGGAGGCTTTAAGACCCAGGCACTGGGGTTTAGCAACACATATTAGACAAGCTGAGGCAGAAGCTTAAGATGAGCACATACCCTAGGAAACTCTGGGTGCACAATTCCAGCAACTGGAAGAGGCAATCACATACACAAGGCACGGACCATGCCTGGTACGCTGGATAAAGCCGTCAGTAACCTGGTCTGACCTCTGACTGCTCTGCGCAGGAGGTCCAATCAGGGGCTTCTTCAAGTCCCTTTCAACCTGAATTACCCTATGATCTTATGACTCAGAAGAGGACTGTGAATAATCACCATACTTGAGATCCCAGTGCAAAGTAATGGTTACGTGAGCAAAGTTGAATATACTTCCATTTAGGCTAGGAAACACCAGGTACAAGTAAAAAGATCACAATCATGAGACCATTACAGGGACACTGCATGTGATTTTATGCATATGATAATAGTAAGCTGTAAAATGTTCATTAAAGAGCTACAAAGATTCTTATGCTAGAAAACCTGTTTTGTTGTGAGAGAACTGCCATCTATCTCATTTAACACAGAGATTAAGTAATTGACTCAATTTTATTGGTGATTATCTTACTGAAAATAAGATTTGTGATGGCAGAGAACATGCCCTTCCAAAAGGTTGCAAGATCCAGTAGTTGAAAGCTGGAGACATATTCAGGCTAGAACCAAGAATCAAGAGCTTTAGACTGTAGTTAACAATTAACATGGCACCAAAATACCCAGGGGCATGTAGGACTCAGTATTCTATTCAAAATTTTCAGTCTTTCTGGAGGGGAAGATCTTGCACAAGCCAAAAATGTAGCTTCCGTGTGGAATCTCTGGTGATTCTCTGTGGCATTTGTATCCCGGACCTGCCTTCATAGTCAGATGGTTGCTGTGTCTGCACCCTATTGCTGTGAGCCAGGAACTGAGCAGAAACCAGACAGCTTTGTTAGGACACGTCTATAGCTACTTTAAGTAACCCCTCCCCTGTTAACCTTGTTTGGATAAACAACCTCATGGCTTTCGGAAAAGCAAAATGCAAAACTGCATCTGTCAGGAAGACGTAGCTTGTCCGTTATAGGTGAATATAGAGATGACCTTTATGGTGAAGCCTATTGTGAAGATGGCATTCATGGAATTAATCAGTAGCTTCTTTTTGACAATTCTTATAGCACAGAAATAAGAAGAACCTTTTAAGTAATCAAATCCAGGCCTTTGCCATGGCAAAAAGCCACATCATACAATCCGGGTTCATATGTTTAGCAAGATCTGCCTTTGAACTGCTCAGGTATTTTTGCTTCCATTGCTGTCACTGAAAGGTTGTTCTTGAACTTTAGCTCAGATGGTCCTTCCAATTTCCAGTTCACTCCTGGCTACTTTATATACATGTATTTTAGTATAAATACTGCATTTTCCTTTATAATCTCTTTCAAATAATGTAAACTCCCATGCCTCTGTAAGGAAGTGCTCTAAACCCTCACCGTCTTTAGAATTCACTCAGCAAGAATTCAGGCTTTCTAGGATAATAAATGCAATCCTTTGCCTACAATAGATGCATTAGGATTTCTTACAGATATGGTATTTCTTTATTAAGTCCCTTTGCAGAATGCTGCATCTGCCTAAACAATAGCTAGATGCACAGGAGATTCTGATTTTTTGTCCATTGAGATCTGAATTTCACTTATTAAGATGTGAGTTTCAGAGACAGAGAGTAATGACGTTCATTTGCATGCAATCTAGATTGAGTGCAAACATCTTTTCTCTACTTTTTTTTCCTCATGGCTAAAGAAAATTAGTATTAATGAGACTATGTTCCTGTAGTGAACATTTCACATTGCATATAAGAAAATAATAAAGCTGAAATTCCAGTACTGCCACTTTACTCCATTTTTCTCCTTTCTTTCCATCTTCCCTTTACAAATGAAACATTTTATGAAACTTTTTATAATTTTTGGTTTGTAGGAATAGATGCACAGAGCACTTCTTGAGGCTCTCATACTATTCTGTTATTTCTACAGTTTGGCATACAGCAACAGTATGAGCTTGGACAGTTTATGCGGAGAAGATATTCCTATTTCCTGAGCGTTGTTTACAAACGGTCTGAGGCAAGTACTGGATCTGGAAGGGAGGATGTTTCTAAAGATGTTGATAGAACTTCTTGGATCTGTGAGAATCTGAACTTGGTACATTTGGAGGTAACCTACTGAACTGAGTATCCAAAACTGAGTATTCAAAGTATCCCTGAAGATGTGGCTCAATTTTGAGTGAGCCTGATGGTAAGCCGAAAACTGTGCACAAGGTTTTTAAGGCTGTATATGAGGCTCAGATACCTCACTGTTGTATGACAGAGTATCTGTCATCTGTGCTGGAGATTTCAAACTACACTTTTCCACTTACAGTGCAGACAGAGCTTAGTTTTCATTTCCAGTTGCTCAGTGCATCCATGATGTCCTAATTTGTTTGATCAAATGAAGGTAGCCTTATGTTTTTCAGTAGGACTCCTAAGGGAGCAGCTGCCACTTTCCTGTCCATCCAGGTTTTATTCCAAGGCTCTGTTTCAGCTTCTTTCTTTCTCCCTTCTTTCTTTCTTTACCTCACCCTGTTTTAATTTACTGTGCCAATTTACTCAGCACAGTACTAGATCCCTTCTTTTCTATCAAGAGAAGAGACTTAACCGGAGAGATTATCTTAAATAAATAAATAAAATTCCTTTCTTCCTTCAGATTTATGTTCAGAGCACTGACTGTGATCAAACGCTTATGAGTGCTCAGGCAACTCTTGCTGGGCTGTATCCACCAACACAGGGACACATTTGGAACCCCAGAATCCTTTGGCAGCCGATTCCAGTTCACACAGTGCCATTGTCACATGATAATGTGAGTATAGACTACAAGCACTTGTTTTCCCTTGATCATTAGTAAAATATCTAGTAAAATATATAGTAAAATAAAGCATGTCAGATGTAGGAGCCTGAAAAAGGGCACAGCAACAACAATGAAAGGTATATTAATTACAGGCATCAGACAGAAAGGAATAATATGCTGAGTAGAAATACTGTCAGGAGTTTCCATGGGAACGGACTCAGATGGACTGAGTAGAGTTCCCCATTTCTGGAAAATCTGTGTTAAAAAGCTAAGAAAGATAAGGAGCATACACTGTGAGTCCCATTGTGGAAGAGGTTTACACGTATTTGTGATAGATTTTGTGTGCTTAGAGATCTAGTTAACACAATCTGTGACAGAATTAGGTTGAACAGGGACATGGAGCATTGATTCTCACCTCAGAGTGATGAGAGCTTGAATATGGAAGATATGAGACGTATGTCTTCCTGTGCATGAATGCAGATTGGTGTAGAGTCAGGAGATGCTCTGACACCACCGCAGATGGTAGTACTCCAGCAAACAGTCAGCATCACCTGGTCGGCATCAACACCACTGTCACACTCAGCAAACAGGCACTGCAGCTCACTCATGCCTAGGGGATCAAATAAACAAATCAAACAAATCATAGTCATAAATGCAAGTTTCCTACTTTTTTTACAACTTGTCTTTTGACTGTATTAATTTTTGCTGTATATACATGTAAGATTGAGACCATATATATCCTTCTACCCACTTCTACCCAAGTGTCCATCATTTATTCATTGGTAAAGCTATGTCTGTTCATGGACTACGGTTATAATTCAGAAATTCTTTCTTACCATCTGGAAAAGATTATGTTTGTAAAAAGACTGAGGAACTGCTCTGAAGCTTTCTCAGTTAATTATCCCTTTAAGACTCCCAAGTTCTTTTTAAAAGCTCTTTTAACTGCCCGGTTATATAAATAGAGATTCCTTTCTGGAAAAAGGACAAAGAGCACATCAGAAAGAAAAAACAAAACAAAACAAAACAAAACAAAACAAAACACTAAGGATATCTCATTGTCAAAGAAAAGATGAGTTATAGAAATTTAGCCAGTTTCTTTGATTTAGCTGAAGTAAATGGAACTGTGTTAAGTTTACTGAATACAGCTGAGTATGCACAAAGACTTACTGCTGTCCACCTGCTGCATGGTAATTCATAGTAGAAAGGTGACAGTATGTTTAAAGAAAGACTGAACACAGTGAGTGAAATCATCTCTGGGGAAGCCAAGCACAAAGCAGTACACGAGGGCTTGTGTTATTCTTCCGTCAAGTGACAAATCCAGTCTTCTGTAAATGACTCCTTTAACTTTGATCTGCTGAACCTACTACTCCTCTAAATATGTAAAGATTATTTTCTAAGTAGTCATCAATATGACTCTTATGGTCCTCAGATGAATATCCAAGAAAAGAACACTCCCAAATAATTTTGCAGCTTGTTTTAATTAGTGCAGCCATTCAGGACAACAGTCTTACAAGGCTATATTGAACAAGAACAAGAGGAATCTTGCCTAACTAATATTTTGCAATTTCATTTTCAGCTGCTATATGTACCTTTCTCACACTGCCCAAAATACAATGAGCTTCTGAGAGAAACTTTTGCAACAAGAGATTTCCAGAAGCAGCTCAAGCAGTACAGGGTAAAGTATTTTAATTTCTGATATCTTCAATTTAAAATGTACTACTTTTGGTAAAGTTATCTAACAAGTATGTTAAAAAATGGCAATCAGAATGCTCCTTCCAGATATGTAATCTTCAAAGTGGGTGTATACGACATATCCAAACTACAATTACAATATTATGAGCCACCTAGATTGAACCATCCCCACCAACTGAAAACTGCAAGTCATAGAAAAGATAAATGATGGACTATCTTCAAAAAGAAAACATTACATCTACCTTCCTTCTAGTAGAGCACAGAAAACAAAACCTCAGATCAGATCAGTGCCTCACTTCAACAATTATCTCTATTCAGTTTCATGTTAGCAACTGCTCAGGTGTTTCTGACTGTATAACTCCTTGCTAGTTCAGATACTACCACAGAATTCTCTCTGCTCAGTTTCACAGTTTTTTTATAATAGTCCCAATGTTTTCCTCATTACCTTCTCATGCCTCACACCTAATGGCTTCATTCAGATACTCACATTCCTGCATCTGTAATATATCCCTTCATTTCTTTCACCGACATCAAATTACTTGCCATGAGTATGTAATCACTCTCATATTCTACTGCGAATTTCTTCTTTGTGGGTTTAATCAAAATGGAATTATCATATTCACCTGTTCTCTTATAATCTTTAATCACCTAAACAGCCATCTACCTCTGCATCTACGTGTTAGAACCATGTGAATCATAATTCCCTGTTTTAGACCTCTCTGCTACTCATTACCAATGTTGGAATAACTCTGTTTATCACACTTCTATTGAATATTTCTTGGATTCTGCAAGACTTTTTCATATATCTGGATCCATTCTACCCACTTCTGAACATCCCCACCAAGCATAAACTATTTCTGTACTTTAAACTTAGACTCAGATTACCATCCTTATTTTAGATGAATAGGCTGTATTCCCTTTTCAGCCTAAAAGAAAACTTTTATTTCTTTTCTTCCCTAATAAAAACTAGTGGTATAAATTAGCATATTTAAGTTTTCCTGATTTATGTAACCTCTTTCATTGATCAATATCATAATCTCTCCAGCATTACCATGTGATCCTATGTCTAGATCACTGAGATCAGTAGGTGTCTTTAGCACTACAATAGTAGATGGGATTGTAATTAAGACAGATCCCAAGGTAGGAATGAAGAAACCATGTGTTTGACAACTCAAGAAGCAACATGAAACATATATATCCCTGTACCTGAGATGTAGAAGTGGGAGGGAGGCCATAGCTAAAAAATAGGATGACAGCCAGGTTTCACAAGCTCTTAATAAATTTTAGTGCAAGCATTGATTTTGTGTCTGCCAGATGATTATGAAAACATGTGGAGCGTGCAGGATGAAAAAGGATCCACTTGAACAGGTAGTAACTGCCTGCCGCGAGTCCCACCAAACAACAGTACAGTGCTTAGACACCAAATGCAAAGACTATGTTGTTTCTAAAAATTACTGTGTATTATGGAAGTGTGTAAAAACAATGTAAAAAGTGTGCAACAAGTTTCCTTTTTTGTATTCCAGTCTTTTCTCAAGTTTTTAGCCTCTCACACTGGATATCCACTGAAGAAATTGAACAGTGAAAGAATTTTGAGGATCTCTGACACTTTACAATATGAGGTAAATAATACAAAGAAAATTTCCAAGGTCCAATATAAACACTTACACATTATCAAAACCAGTCTTAGCTTTTATTTCTATGGTTTGAAAAAACTCAGAATAAGGTAACTCTGTATTTCCAATTCTTTTGAGCCACGGATTATTTTCAGCTCCTTCCTCAGAACACTTATCTTACATCAAATTCACAGCTGAATATCCAGCTGTGACTGTGTGAGGATGCTGTTGGTCATCCACCACCGTAACAAACACAAACCAATGGCCTACAAATGCAACACCTCAGTGATTGCACATGCACACTTAAGCAAAAGCATACTTTTGGGTAAAATTGTCTTGTTACTCCTCCAAACCCCATCACAAAGATGCATGGGCGTAAAACTTGTTTTTGGCAAAGACAACACAAACATGCCTCCACAAAGATTTTATGCAATTTGTATGATAAGGCCCAAGCTGCATGTAGGTCATAATGGTCATTTTCAGAAATTAAGTAGCCACTGAAATGACACAAAAGATTATTTGTGCAAACCTTGGGAGCCTTGTTCAAGCAAATGGACCATGCACATCACACAGAAGCACAGCTTTTACAACAAAAGGGGTGTTCTGGTACCCAACTGTTACAGGTATATGGGACTCACAGAATAGTATCTCTGACAGGGATGTGGAAAAAACCTTGAATGCTCTTAATTTAGCAACCAGCCCCACTTTGTGCCACTTCCATCTTGAGTTATACTAGCTGAAGCAAGTAAAAATTGCAGGTAGTCTTGTATTTAAAATATCTTTGATATTGTTGCAGGCAGAGCTTGCTATGAACTGCTTTACAGCATAATTACTTTAAAATTCAAATATTAATAATAAATTGGTCATCAACAGTAGGATAGCTTCTGGGAAAATGAAGCAGTTTTAAGATGTGTTCCACAGCCAACACATGCTACTTGGGTGTGATGCTAATGAGTTTGCCTTCTGCCCTGCAGTTTCTGGAGGTCCAACTCTGATCAGTGGACTGCATTGCTAGCCAGGGCCATTTTGAGCACTGTCATTTCAATGAGGTCACCTTTTCATATTGCCCAAATTCAGGACAGTTCAGGACCACAGCATTTAATGTCAATTGTTACATCATACTGAGAAACCCACGCCACAACAGCAATGTGAAGAATTGGCAGATCCCATCAGGGAGCTTCCTGACTGCTGGAAGGCAAAACCAGTTAGTTGGGTTATTACTTCTAGTGTTAGATTGATTGAGCCTTGGGCTTTCATATTACTCAGTGAAGACGTCTGAGATACAAATTAAGACATCTGCCACAAAAGTCACTTTTGCCCTCTCAAGTGTATAAAGACAGCTTTTTCACTTTTTTTTTTATTTAAACAAAATTAATGAAACTTCAGTAGCATACATCTCTGTATTTGTTATTATTGGCTAAGTGTCATCTGACTTGTAGACTGAGGTGCTTGCTTGCCAGCAGCATTGTCTTAAATAGCATGGAAGCAGGCAATTTTTTTTTCTCAAGGCACAGATCACATTTGTTAAAAGAAAAAGTGACCTAAGCCGATTTAACCTAACACGTTTCACTTATCTAAATAAATCCTAAGTTAAGTAGTTGGCTCCACCTGGTGAGCTCAGCCCTCTGACTCACATTCACAAGAAATAAAGGAAAAATGCCAACTTTAAGCTGGAATTCAGAGCAGTAGAAACCAGGAGTGCTGGCACATATTTCCTTCTTACAATTGCCACCATTAATTTCTCTTGGGTTGTTTCCCAAAACAAAAAAAGAATCCATTATATTCTAGCTAGAGGACTGCATCAGCAGCCAGCACAGCTGGAATAAGTAGGTTTTCTGAACTCCATAGACATACATCATTCTCCACTACATCCAAATTACAGCTATATATGTTCTTACTTAATTGATGGATCTTGGTCCAAAGGTGCCAAGTCTTAAATCTTGATATCCCTATGGCATTTGTTTCAGTAAAGATTTTGGGATATATTCCAGTAGATGGTTGAAGAAGAGTCACGGGGTGAAATTACATTATCAATTGGCATAAATCGTGCCATTTGCTTTTTATGTAATAGTTTTCAGTATAATATTTCCTCCTTTTGTTGAACACTGCCCTTCAGATTTGTTTTAAGCAGCGGGATGTTGAACTAAGAATTCTCAGCTGTCTAAATGCAAAATACTGAAAAACATTATTTGAGAAAAAACATTCAGAATCTGTTCCAATATGCATTTTGTACCAAAATAATAATAATAATTAAAAAAGTTAGCAGTGGGAACCAACAAGAAAATCATAATGTTTTCTTTCTGCACTGTAGGATATTAACAATTACACTTTACCTGCTTGGGCTACTCATGGTGTCAGGACCAAGCTGATAAAGCTCTCAGAGTTGTTATTGCAGGCGGAATTTGGGTTCCACAAACAAATACAGAAATCACGTTTGCAGGGAGGTAAGCAAAATTCTAACCCCATTTAAAATCAATAGTACAATGGGAAAGAAGAAAACGTGTAATAAACATGGCTATAAAAGATGCTATGACGCAGATATTCGCAATTGGTACTAAAGGATTTTGATTAATGAGAAGAGAGGTGGTAAGGATGTGAATCACAAACATCCTAATTCAAGATTAAACTGAAGCAATCACTTTGGTTATACTGTATGAGAAACTCAAAGTAATATACAGATTCTGCTGAACTGAATCAACTCTGAATTTAACATAAGCCAGCATGCTTAACTTTCAAAATATTATCTGTAATAATCTCTAGAATGGTAACTTTGCTTCCTAAGTCTTCCTTTTCCATTACTGGGTATACTAAAATGAGAGTATTCTGGGCTTTATTATTCTGTTCAGCAAATAGTTGCTGAAATTTTAAGATAGTTAAAACCTTTTTAATCACTTATTTGTTTTCCGTTCGTCCACTGTCAACCTTTTGGCCTCATTTTTGCTTTATATTTCCACTCTACAATCAGGGTCTGTGAGCTACAGGACGTACTGTAGCTCACATATACACATACACTCACATATAAGCAAGGATTAATTTGTTTGCCTTTTTGGAGCTCCAACATACAAAACTAAGCGCGAAATTAAAACCTCTCCTCTTGCTTTACTACCAATTGCTATTAGAAGGTATGCCAGTAGACGAAGATAATAGGTATGTTTCGTTCTGCTAGCATATATACTTCTCTTTTCTAGAATTTTGACTCCTGGAAGATTCCAATTTTATGCTAATGTAATTGCTGTAGAAGCTATTAGGGGTCCCAGAAACATTTTACACAGATTCAGATTCACTGCTCAGATAAAAGATAACACCAGGGCATTCTGCACAAATTCTCTAAACTGAATAGAACAACTCTGATGCAGTTAAAGAAAGATTATGTTCAAATATTACAAAATGATACAAACATTAACACAAGCATCTCAGTCATTGTTGGTGCTTACTTATTTTCTTTCAGGTCTTCTTTTAAAAACTATCCTAAAGCATATGTCAGATGCTAGAAAGCCTTCACACCATCAAAAAATGATTATATATTCTGCGGTGAGTCCTTTTTTTTTTTTAAGTTCTCTTTCTGCAGTTATTAAATACAAAGAAAGCCATGCTGCTTCATTTCCTGCATGAAATACAGATACAAGCACTTTTATTTGGTTAACCTTAGATACCACTGGGTTGTTTTCACTCTGTAATGAAAGGAGACTATTTTGCAACCTCCATTTTCCACCTGATGGCATAGCTTATTTCAGAACCTTGTTTTGATTCAGCAGAGAAGTGAAAAAAACAAAGACAATACAGAAACATACCTCCTGCTTCCTGTGTCTTTTTCAGATGTAAAAGTGAAAAAAAAAAAAAAAAAAAGTTAAGGTTTCTTATTTTTGAAGGTATTCTGAAAGCAGTTACTCAGTGGTGACCTTACGTTATTGTTTAGAATGTGCAGACACTCTCATAGGGAAATGAAATTCTGAGACTGCTCTGAGTAAAAAGCTTCTATTCCTAAATTGCAATTTGATCATGAGCTGTGTAATATATATATCACCCAAATACCTTTCAGATTTCAAATTCTGTTAACTTCACAAGAAAAATCACCAGTTTTTATTAAAAGAAGTTTTCACAACTCCTAACTTCAGTAAGACCTACAGATGCCTAATACTTCTTAATATTGAAATATGTATACGTTACACATGCAGCATTTCAGCTGGTACAGCCAGAAGGGGACAGTGCTTGTTAATCACTGCAGAGGGCAAGTATTAATGAAGTCACATAAGTAATATTAAGTGTACAGATAATGTACTGGACTTATTCTCAAGTAATAGTTACGTGCACTGATTTTCAGTAGGACTTTACTGGTGGTTTGTTTTTGTTTTTGTTTTTCTATTTACAGCATGCAACCACTATTGTTGCCTTACAGATGGCACTCCATGTTTTCAATGGGAAATTGCCTCCTTACAGTGCTTGTCATTTCTTTGAACTCTACGAGGAAAAAAATGGGCAAGTATCTGCAAGCTGTACTGCTAGCACATACTTATTTTGCCTAAAGAAATGTGTTGCTACCCCAGACTAACTAGACTGGATACACAGGGTTCACCACACAGAAAAAGATCATAGATTGATTTTAATTATTATAATTAGACTCAATTTAGCAGTTATTGACAGCAGCAGAACCACATCATTGCAGCCTAAGATCTTTCTCTATTGTTCCATTTCGGTTGAGGGCTTTAATCTACCCTCTTTATCTGTTTAGCTCCTCAACTCTCTATCAGTAAGATAGTCTACATGCATATTATACTACCCATTTATTGTTTAAGAAGGTCTCTTCAGAGTATTAACGATACATATTATTAGCAAGACAAATAAGTTTCATCCCAGAGTACAACCACTACAACGTGGAAGATCTCTGTGGTTTCACACACCTAACTTCATTTTGATAATTCTGTATTTTTAAGCAGGCAATACACCATAGAAATGTACTATCGGAATAATACTTTGAGAGATCCCCACCCTCTCACTCTCCCCGGCTGCAGTTTTCGTTGTCCACTAGAGAGATTTACTCACTTGGTCTCCCCAGTCCTCATACAACATTGGACAAGAGAATGTAGGATATAGGACATAAAATGAGGTAAGTTACATGTTTGGGGGACAAAATTAAGGTCAGGATTTGAAACCAAGAGCTCATTTGAATCTTTTTCTTAACGATCTGGTCTGAAATGAAAGAAAATCAGATCCAGTAAGACAAAATTTTATCCATGGCCACAACATTTTACTCCATTGATATATTTATTTAACTTCACCCAACTTGAAATAGAATCAAAGCTGATTATATGTTAGGATTCTCTTTTTTTTTTCTTGATTCAACTGATCTTAGTGCAGTCAAAAATACTTTCAGTCCCTGAAGAAACAAATCCAAATGGACTGAATTGTGTTAATTAATTCTACAGTTAGAGTATTTGTCCAAGCTAATTACCATCAGCATGCATTCTTTTGATTTTAAAAGACACTGAGAGATCAAAACAGATGAATATTGAATAGTATACCGAAGTAGTACCTACCAGAATGTCAAACATACAGATACACATTGGCAGTACTAATGCATTCTCTAGTAGGTTGGCTGTATCTCCATATCACGTTTTCTAACTTTCCTTTATGAGTACTGATGATGGGGCAAACCCAAATGTTTAGCCTTCAAGTTTAACACAAAAGTTGAGCATTGTTTCAGTTCTCAGATTTTACTTCAATAAAAGTTAAATGGCTTTTACACCAAGTCCAGCACCACCACTCACAACTGCTTTCACTGGTAATCCTCAATGCTGAAAATGCATATGGACTAAAAATAAAAATACTTGTGCATTGTCATATCAAAATCTGACATTTGCCCACATTCTATCCCGGTTCAGTATGATTCTGTCTCAGTAATTGATGGGGTCAGCTCCTATTTTTGGAGTTCATGCCTCTTTCCCTTTCCCAGGAAGTTTCCCAGGAAACTTCCTTTCCCAGGAAGTTTCAGACACAAGCAGAATCTGGGAAAAAGCAGTCTCCTGGACACTGCCCCACAGCCTGCCCAGCACTGCAAGGTCTTAGAGGAACCATTCTGTGCTGAATCAATGTGAGCAGTAATGAAATGTAGCACTGATTCTCAACTGATGCAGCTAGGCTGGACCAGTTTGTGTGTAACACTGGGAAACTAAGCTGAGCTGAACAGTAACACAAAGAGTTTACAGATCATGCTGTCACTACACAACTGCAATTTCACTGCCTTACCCGGTTTCCAAATTTGTTGAAAATCATATCAAATATTGTCCTTTGCTTATGCAACTGTTAACACTGACTGTATAGGCATCTAAGCATTTGACAAACAGAAGAGTGAGACTGAGCTCAGTAAATATTACATGGTTATTCTACTTGGAGACGCCATTTCCCCAACATGGAGTTGTTTCCTTAATATGCCTACTTGAATGCTCATGGAGATGACTTATGAACCTAGTATAGGGAAATACAGGGATTAGGAAAGCATTGCTAATACAGGTCACACCAGAGGGCAGTAGCAATGTTTGAGAGTGGTATAAATCAGAGCCAAGTTCTTGCGCATGATGATGACCACAGCATGGAACATAGGAAGTGAAGCCTGCTCAATATATTTGTGGAGGAGATAAAGCATTTCTCTGCATTTATCTGTCTGGAAATTTTCAGTATGGATCAGCTCACAATTTCAAAAGACTTTTCCTACTTCCGTCCTATTTCCATCCAAATGGAAGCAAAACTGTCAGCTTTTCTGTACTTAGTATGACCTACCTGCTTCTTCAAGTAGTAGCGATATATTTGGCATGTCTTCTGACAAGGTTATATGCTAAGAAAGATTCTCTCATTTTGTCTTACCTTTAGGTGCTGCCTCCAGGAAATTCAGCATGATTAGCTTTCAAAACAGTTCCTCCCACACTGTGATGTTACTGCAGTCTGAAATTTCTCATTAACTTCCATCATTATGAACAAGAGTCTCCTGATCTCTATCAGAAAGAAAGAAAAACACAAAAAAACCCCACATTCATCAGTACAGCAAAGCAAAATTACAGAAAGCAGTAACTTACCCTTTCTTAACAGTGGCTTTCTTTTATAAAGTATGAAACCCAAATGCATTGTGAAATTGAGTATTTATTCTAGGTTTATTTATTGCAAAGTGATTTGACAGGACTAATTCAAGAACATAATGTAAATTAAAGTGTTTTGAAAGGCAATAGCCTTAACGTAGAGCAAAACTGGAAAATACTTCTGAAGCAGTGTTGTTCTGTACCCTTTCGGAGACTGGGACAACTTCCAGAACTGGTGAGGGAGGCAGTGCTCCAAAAGGAGCCAGCAACTAGGGAGCCATTATAGTTTCCTCATACTTTATACTCTTCAAGAAATAATTATTTTACACAAACAGATCTCAGAAGCTACAAAAATAACAATAATGGCTGTTTACTTAGTGAATATTTGTCTTGCTTTGTGTGCAGGGAGTGGGGTGAGTGGTTGTGGTTTTTTTCTTTGTATTTATACACAAATATTACACCTGTATACGGAAGGAAGGAGAGAGTTAAGGAAATAATGGGCCATGAGGCTACAGATAAAAGCAGCCTACAAACAATCAGTCTGGCTGTCATAAAGACATGGCAGGCAATTTGTTGACCCAATATGACTTTCACATACTGAGTCGTTGTGTCTTTTCCCAAAAAGATAGCAAGGCTAAGTGTGAACATTGAAAGAAAAATCATTTGTGATTTCAAATAGCTTTACAAACATCTTCCTTTTGTTCTGTTACCTTGATAATGTACTCTGCTCTGATAACATAAAGTCTGTGCTTCAGAGAATTTTGTCAGTCCATGTTGTTCTTGGTGTTAACAGAAAGATCCTACTAACAACACAAAAGACTCTGCAGCTTTGTGCTAGTTAAAACATGCAGAATGTGCTGGGCGATAATTCACTCGTATTTTCTAATGCTGCTATTTCAAAAACAATTTATGGCCTTACCACGAACACTAGATTAGAATCAACAGATGCAGATAACTTTTGACAACAGCGGACATTTCTTTGCTTGAAAAACTAGGTTTGTTTTTAATTTCTTACAGAGGATATATGAAGCTTGTTGCCCACAGGTCACTTCAAAGAGAAAGAGAGTAACAGATGAAAATGAAATACAAAGAATTTTGCCATTCTTTTCCTTGGACCTGACTTTGAAAATGCAGGCTAAGCCCATAAATTGTGTGCCACTCTTAGAACTACAGCAGAAGCAGAGTAACTGCTACTACATAAGCTACAAAAGAGTATTAAAAAAAAAAAAATAAAAAGATCTCTTTTCCCTTTAACAAAAATCTGAAGTTTCAGAATTCTCACTGTTAAAGCCCACTCTCTCCTCAGCAGAGTCCAAGCAACAATTCCTCTGCTTTCTAAGCCTCCATAAGAAGCAGTTTAGGAAGAAGAATTGTAGTTAAATTTCATAGCAAACAGGCTCAAAAATACAGATAGAAATAAATTACTGCCTCTAGTGAAATAAAAGGCAACGTTTTTTATATCCTTTTAGATGAAGCAAGTAAACAAGGATAAAAACATTTTTGAACAGAATGAGACAGCCAGTTGTAGCTGCTTCCCAATGCAAAAAGATCAAGTTGTTTTTTTCTCCATATTGCCTCAGTGTCCATAGTAGACGCCAGCAGAGAGCCTTCCCAGATCTGGCCATTCTTATAGGAGAGTTAGTGTAAACCCTTTGAAAGGTTCACTGTAAAGCCAACACACCTGGACAAAACTGACCATCACACCTCCTTTAACAGCAATAATATTTTTAAAAAAGCAAAAGAAAACCAATGAGAGAGGAAAATGTAAGACCCCATGCTTACAAGATCATAGCCTTGGTGTATAAAACCAAATTTTAGGCACCTTCTCTTCTATTCTGTACTTGTTCCTATTTCTTCTTCTTATTCTGAAGCTGTATCAGCTTAAGTTGTTTTCAGTGTTTTATTTGCCAGATATTTTTGAGTGGAAGTTCAAGAGCTGTAAAGGGGGATTCATTCTTTTCCCACCAAAGGCAAGGGTAACATTTCTGCTGGCTTCCCAGACCTGAACAAGCAGAGAGTGCAACGCTCATACAGCTGAGACATTCTTCATTATTCTCTTTAGCCTACAGTTTGTAGATCCTCTTCCCCTTCCTCATTCAAATTCACCTCTCAAAACTTTCAGAACCATGTAAAGACCTTTCTTCTGTCACACAGTTTTGTCCTGGAATGGGGGACCATGGAGTTGTGGCCTGGCTCCATAGTTCCCTTCAGCTTCAGATGTGCATCCAAGCTGTGCCAGCTTCTTGCAGAACTACAACAGAATGTTCTCCTTTTTCATTATTGGACAACGTTTTCTTACCTGCTACATGACCTAGTAAACATGTCTTGAGCATTTCAATTCCTGTGGAGAAAAAATAAATTTCTAACATATACTGATCACAATCACAGAATCGTAGGGGTTGGAAGGGACCTCCAGAGATCATCGAGTCCAACCCCCCTGCCAAAGCAGGTTCCCTACAGAAGGTCGCACAGGTAGGCATCCAGGCAGGTCTTGAACATCTCCAGAGAAGGAGACTCCACAACCTCCCTGGGCAGCCTGTTCCAGTGCCAATCCCTAAATGCTGGAAGCAGTTTCATCTCTGCCTTCAGTGCAACAACTTCCACCTAGTGCGTGCCTGGGCTGTGCTGCACTGCTAGCAGTTAGCTAAGGTTACCCTTCCATACATTAAAGAGTGAGTTATTTTGCAAGCAGTCTGCTTCAAAGCCACTCCAGCTATGCTTCAGCAAGCCTTCAAGATGGGCACATGCTTTTAAAATAGACAAATTGTGCTCAAGCTAATTCCACTAAATGCCATAATTTAATAATTACAATATATGCCATGGAGCCAAATTAGCATATAGATTATACAAATAGTTTGAGTCTATTTACATTATGATGCTTTGAAAATTTTAATGACTAACTTCAGAATAATTTTTTTTAAGTTTTATTTTGAAGCAAATTTTCCTTAAAAAAAAAAAAAAAAGGATTTAGTTGCAAAGTATGACAAATTTACAGCTGTCAAAAGCACAGTAAAAATGGCAGTCTGCCTTTATCCCAAACTGGAATTTGGAATTAAAATACAAGACAAGTAACTAAATTTACAAGTGAAATACATCCTTAGAGTTTACCTGCAGGACCCTGTCTTTAAAATCACTGCACAGGAAAGAGGCTGTTTTTTTCATTTTGCAATGCGTAATGATTTTTTTTTTAGGTTATGGTGCCCATTTTCAGGAGATATGTCTGCTAATACATCCACTAGCAAAATAAATATGCTAAAAGGAGGAATGATGCCACACAAAGTAAAACTTTATTATACACTTGATTTCAGGTTGAAATGTCATTTTGAAAGAATTGTTAGCAAAGCCTTTCTACAAAATACAGCCAATTGTTAAGCTTTCCTAAATGATGCCATCCAACACCACAAAAAATATTTATTTCTCAATTGAAGCTACCATATGGGTTCTGTAATAATGAGATTCTCAGGTTATGGCTTCTCACCTTCATTAGCCACAGTCACTCATCACAGGAACACAATGAAACAATAAACCTTATGAAACTCATGAGTTATGAATTTCCTGGTAAGGTTTAATAATGAGAAAAACTTTGAAAACCAAGCAATCCTTGATCCAAAGTGTTTAGGAACCACCTACTGAAAAATCTATACAGATTAAAAAATAGAGGCATCCTTTCTTGAATTTTGAATAGTCTTAAAATATTCTTAAGAAAATGTCTTTTTTGAGCAGCATTCTTAAATAATACTGTAGGTGATCATCTTACATTTATTTTCAGAAAGGTAAAGTAATAGTTATCTTCAAGTATGAATGACTTTCTTGTGTCTCCTACATAGGCACCATCACACCAGGAGAGACCAAAGACAACAGGGAGAAAACAGTGAAGGGAAAGAGAAGTTCAAGTGAGTGCTGAATACTGGGTACAGATAGAGGGAAGGAGATGGGGAAGTCTGGAAGCTGTGGTCCTCCTCCCTTCCATCAGGGGAAATGGACTCTTAAGGCCATTCACACAGTTAAGAGAAGAGAACACTTGAGGCTTAGTATAGGATCCTATGGACAGAATATCTGGGAAATGCTAAAGTACCTGTTGAAGAGAAAATATTGCTGCAGAGAGCTCAACAGAAGACACTGAGACAGACTGGAGAATGAAAGGAATGGTATGACTCAGACAATATGTGGATGATCTTAACTTTTAACATTTATGGAACTCTATTTAGAGTTCTCTACAAACTGTACTTTGCTTGCTTCAAAAAGCTTTATGACTAGAAATAATGTCATTCTGAGACTTATTTTATAGACAGGAATTCAGGAGAGACAAGCTGAGCAATCTGCTTAAAGCCATTGAGCCAGTGAGCATCCAGGGCCTGCTCAAAAGAAATTTCTTTGGGAATCGGGGCCAAAAAAGAATTTGGCATAATGAATTACAAAAGCAGAAGTATAGATACACTCCAATGGAAAAGAAAAACAGAACACTCCAAGAGCAAATAAACTGCCCAGGAAACAGCTTGAAGAATGTACTTGCTGTAAGGCTTACTTAACTATTTATGTGAAAGCTGAAGTCTTCTTTAAAATAATTATTCTGATTTTGCTGAGACAACGTAGATGAGGAGAGAAAAAAGGTAGGTGGAGAAGTTGAAAGGAGGATTAACTGGACAGAAAAGAGAAAGCAGTATTGTCTGGCTCTTGGTTCTGATTTCATCCTTGTGGCTGTGCCTATCATCTGGAAAAATTCAAAGCCCTAAGAAGTAGAAATAGAACAGGTAGGTTAGAACAATATAGATGCCTAGCAACTCTTCATATTTCAGCCTCATCCTTAAACTCCGAAAGAGAAAAACGTCACAGACAAAAAGGAAATGAATTATGACTTGATTCAATGGAATGTAAATAGTAATTTGAAAACAAAGAGTGATGGGGTTTGTTGTGTAGTCACACAACATTCCTCCTGGATTTGAAATTTGCCAGCCACAGTTCCACCCCTTTTGAAGTCCAGCCTCCCTTCCTGGCTCTTTAGCCCAAGCAGCTGTAGGAGCTCCAAGTACTTTTTTCATCTGCTGCCAGGATGGGAGTGATATGGCTGCCCAACCCATCTCGGATTCTATGTTTTGCTTTTCATGTTACCTTCATTCTGTTTCAGCTAGCAACTGCAGAAAGAGAACTGAAGTTCGTGGTTGCAGTGAGTAGATTTGTTTTCTATTTAATTGTGGGATATGCAGGGAATTTGGTATGTCTGTCAAGTCAAACAAGGTGTGCAGTTCTTTAGCCTCTCTTTAGACTTAAAAATACAACCTTTTTTTTTCTTACTAAATTTAAAGGCTTCTTAAGATAAGAATGCCTGTAGCTACAAGAATTTTCACCTCTTAATTCCTAGTTATTTTTTCAGTATAAACAAACCACGTCGCTTTGTGGTCGAGGCATAGTGCACAGGGGCACAGAGATCTTAAGTCTAGTTTATCTGTTCCATAGTCAGCCCTTGTGATCGTGGCCTACCTTCTTTGTGCTTGGAAGCTGAAGCTTTTGATGGTATAAGGTGCTCTGAAATTGCAAAATAGAAGTCACCATAAAAATGGAAGCAGTTGCTCAGAACAACTGTATCAGGAACTGAATCAGGATAGCGCACTAAGAAAAGGGCATTTTCTGTAGAGATCTGAGATGGGTGTTGCATTTACTGTAGTTATTTTGAAACCAGACTGTAATTGTATTGTCCTGGTTCACTGCTCTTTTTAAAGTAACTGGACAGTACTTCAGCATCAGTTTCCTCCATAGCTAAAGTAAACGAGAGATTAATTCAATAAAGTATTTTGGATGGTGAAGGTTCCATCATAACCCTTTTCATTTTAATTGTTTGGGGCTTTCTTTTGTAATGAGAAGGGTATACTGATATAGAATAGTTAGTTTAAAGTGATATTTTCAACATAAAGTTTTGAGGATTTGAATTTACATATATAAATAGGAATTTTACTTTTAAGATGTTCTTCCACCCTTCTGTATTGGCTAGCTTATGTAGATGTGCCACTTGGAGAGAGGCCAGAGTGCACCAGAAAAACCAGTTTCTATTCCTGCTGAGCCCTATTGCTCTATCAGACCCTAAAGAAGGCAGGGACTCGACTCTAACTAATTCCATAACGTTCTGTATATAGTAATATCCTTAAATGTTTCAGTGGTGAAAGGGGTAACTAGCTAGATGCAGGGGTCAATTCAGGCTGTCAGCATGCTTTGGAGAATTAACTCTCTGAAGAGAATGAGGCATTTACTGAATTGCAGTTACTGTGTGCTAACAAGCAATGCGACTGGAAAAAAAATAGTTACAGGAAAGGCTTACCATTATGGAGATAAGATCCTTCCTATCCTAAATCAGCTGCTTTATCATACTTGGGCAGCTATCTTCTCCACCTACCCAAAAAAGATAGCACTGTATTTGATATGTACTCTATTTATGAATTATCAGAATTAATGTTAAAATTTGTATATTTAATTTTAAATATACATTTAAATGTCTTTCTTTTATCTTTGACACTTTTTCTTAGATCGACCAATCTAGCTGAAAAGTTACAATAGATTCAGTCTTATTATCAGTATATACTTCCTTTCTCACGGCATGGTTTCTGATTGCTCAATTCTGATTGCTCAAAAAAGAATTTTGTCTTCTAAATTCACAGAATTCACATGTGATCAGAATTACTAGCAGAAACAGAAAGGGAAACTAATAGAAATTGGCCCCAGAACATTTCATTGACATAATGGGATAAAATGACAGGCTACAGTCGATGTAAGTCTACACCTTTCTGAGTTAATTCCGTGGCCGTTTTCCAGCTGTATTGTCTGTAAGTTGCTATGTAGTCACCTGAGAGTATTATTGCACTGTGAAAAAGTGTCATTAATGACTTTTAAGAACTTTCTTAGCAGAATTGCACAATATAAAACGCATCTGCTAGGGAGGGTGGAACCAAACAAATTCCCTTTTGCTCACTTCCAGATTTGTGCTGAATTGCTCTCTTCTCGCATCTTCCACCTTTGTGCTGATTTTGTGTGTTTTAATTATTAGCCACAAGTACTTTGTGGTGAAAAGCTGTAACACCAGCCAATTTGTCAAAATGCTGTTTCAGGTTTCCTCCTCACTTGTAGATATTAACCCTTACCATAATTCTTAGGCACCAACTTGGATGTAAGAGAAAGAAATAGCAACTATCTAGGACCATCAGGCATCCAGGTAGAAATGCAATACTGATCTATTGTCTCTCTGTAACGAAGTTCTGATCTGTAACTTCTGCTTCCAGACAGGCACTCATTTCAGCTATCATTTACACAAAGAGGTGTGGTTTTGGAAGTAGTGTGATTTCATCATGCCTTTCCTCAGAACAGGATGTGCTGACTAAGGATGTTATCTATCTAATCAACACAAGCCATTTGAAATCTTGACTGAACATGCTCAGTATTTCTGCATCTATGATGGACTGGCAGCATGACTGGTTCCACAGATCTGTTCTTTTCCTTCTTATTGCTAGCTGCAATATAAGAAATCTTGCTTGAAGTTGAGTCTGTCAATAAAAATGTCCATGTGAGGTTCACTATTGTGCCACATTGTGCACTGCAATTAATGACGTTATTGAATGAAGATGCTTTATACACATATACATGCCATATTCTCAGCTTTCCCCTCATCTACCCTTGTTTTTCTTCAACACGATCTCTCATCTGACAACAATAGGAGCAAGTGCTGGCCAAAGTCTGAGTCATGTGGCCATTTTGATCTGATGTGTTCACCCTCAGTATGCTGTAATAAAGAATGGGAGAGCCCAAACATCGAATCAGCTTCAAGCTGCACTGGTGCTGAAGGAGGAAATTCTGCATCTTATGCTTTTGAGAACTGAGGTCATGTAAAGTGACATATTGAGATGCTGAAGTGAACACACACAGGAGGTGTGCTTTCCACTTTTCATGTGTATTTTCCTTGTGTTCTTCTTCTTGTTTGTCTTTTCTCCTTATATGATGCCTCCTTCTTCCTTTTCTCTAATCCTGCCCTGTTGCAAGTCCTCTGACAGGTCAGGAAGACAATCTGTAACCCAAGAGTAACAAATTCTGCAGCGCACCAATATTTTTAATGTTACTGGAATGATCAGTTCCAAATGCAGAGTGCTGAAAAATACATATTGCTGATAAGGGCAGGCTTTGTAGGGATATGTTTTTCTTAACAGCATCAAGTAGTCTAACAAAGACAAAATGCCCAAGTTAAAAAAAAAAAAGTGTCCTGACACATAGCTGAACATTACTGAATGAGTTGGCCTTCTGTGTTGAGTAGCTGATGAGGTCATTATTTCATTTTCAATCATAACAGAAACAGGGTCATTTTCAGAAGCAGCAAGGAAAAAAAAAAGTTTGAACACAAACAAAAATCAGCTATCTGATAAGTTTAGTCTTTCAGTTCCTAAAAGCAGGATTCTAGTCTTAGCAGTAGTTTCTGTTTCTTTCTTTTTACTTCCACATTAGTGTTAATATCATATTTACGTGTCACCATGCAATGCTGGTGCAAAAATTCAAATAAGGAAATGAACTTTTTTCTCTTTTGAGTAAACTTAAAGAAACTGTGCTGCTTTGTGAAGAGAACAATTCCCACTCTTTCCATTTCTTAATGTTGAAAAGAGAAAAAAAAAATATTTTCCTTTAGATTGCCAGCTCCCACGTATACTCTTATACTCACAAAATCACATAATCACAGTTGTGGGGGTTGGAAGAGACCTTAAGAGATCATGGAGTCCAACCCCCTGCTGAAGCAGGTACTGGCACACTACTGGCTCATGATCGACCTGTTGCCCACCAAGACACACAGGTCTTTCTCCTTACATCATATATTTGGATCCTTGTTTTTTTTGCCTTCTCACCTCTGATCAGGTAAAATGCTACCTTGTTCTGGCTTATTGAATGTTTTTCGGAGTTGACTGTTGTGACACTGAAATATACACAGCAGGTTGTGTTGCATATTAAGTGTAAAGCATCACAAACTGGTATTTCAAATCTAACACATTTTTAGACTAATGAAAAAGGCTCACTTCTGGGCCAGGTTTTGATTTGTTACTATATATTGCTTAAAAATAGCAATCTAATCATGTCAGTTTGAATAACTGTCAATTACTCATTAAAATGATTTTCTGTGGAGTTGGGTAATTTAACAAGAAAGTACACAGCTACATTTTAATTGGGAATTTAACCTTCATTCTTTACAGAGACATCAGGTTGTTCAGAAAAGCTAATTAATGCTACATGGCAATGTAGTATGTCAGCATGTCAAAACACTATGGAAATAAGCGCTAACACAAAAGTCCCCTTACTCATTTCTCATGTCTCCAACTGAATCGAGCACCAGACATTGCACCTCTTTGCCTGTTCTGCTGTTTTCTACAAGTTCAGTGAGAAATGATTACAGAAAATGAACAGAGATTCCAGACTAGTAAAAAAAAAAAAAAAAAAAAAAGCATGTACAGAATTAAAAATTGCATACAGAGATAAAAATAAAATATTTAATAATATTTTATGAACTGTTTTGCTATGCTTGAACTCAGAATTATCTTTTTTTTTTTTAACTCAGCAATTCATTATTAATCAAATATTTTATTGATGCTAGTAAAAAAATGACATCTTAATTTAATGAGTAGTATTTATTTCAGGTTGACCACATTTTCAGTGAAGTTCAACTAGCAAATGTGGGAGTGGCAAACAAACTCATGTCACTGATGTATGGGAAGAATGATGTGGCTTAGTTAGGCAATGGGGAGTACTAATTATAATCAAGTTATATATCACTATATCAGTGTGTTATTATGAAATAAATGACACTTTATGAACAAATATACCACACTTTCACATTGACTTTTTTTTTTTCTTCTTCAAAATCAGGAATTAATTTGGTTATTTGAACATTGATACAAGTAAAGGTAACTGTTTCAAATTTGGACCAGCATCCCTGGGAGATTGTCTGGAACCCTATGAATTTGTTTTCCAGTATTTCTTTCCAGACGAAATTTTTGTGGACTTCATTTTTTAAGTCTGTACATGGCATATTTAGGGAGAGTAAGACAGACATTTTCAGAGCTACTTAATTAAAGTTAAAAAAAGTTATAAATTTAAAGTTGGAACTTTCTTTGTATGGTGGAAGAAAGATACTAAAAGGCTCACTTAAAGTTTCTTGATGTACAAATCATGTGACTGCAAATATCAAAACAACATTCACCATGCTGGAATGTCCAGCCAACTAAACTCTTTGCTGTCACTGAAGTTAACAGGAAAATTTAAAGATGCTTTCTTAAATATTCTAGTAAATACGTGTAAAAATAGCAATAAATATTAAGTAAGCTAAAAGTGTAATTGATAAACTTTTACTTCTTTACGTTATGGTATGAGCACGAAATTAAATATAAGAGTGTGCCTTGAAGGTACCACTACAAAAAAAGGAGTCTATAAAATTTCAAGTGCGGTGCCAAAGTAGTTAAATCCTCATATAAGTACACCAGGAACTGTTCTTAAATTTGGAATGGTCAAGTGTCCAAAATTTAACCAAGTTTCTTGTATAGATGCCTAGCTATGAATGTAATCTGGGCATTGGCATTTTGGCTCATTAGATTTCTGAGTTCTAAATGAAAGAATAATCAGGATTATGCCCCCTGAACTCCTATATAGAGTATCCATTTTTCTGTGTAAAGAACGTACTCTAATCCTATTTGACTAGGTTGCTGCTTACTTTCTAATATTCATATTTGAAAAATGGCACTGGAAGTAAAATTGTGTGATTGTTCCTCTAGCCAGGGAAGAATGGAATGCTAGCAATAATTAATTTGCTTTGTTAACATGAATTTTATTAGGTTTTCCGGCATGGTGACCGATCACCTGTTGTAAACTTTCCAACTGATTTACACAAAGAAAGTGAATGGCCCCAAGGATTTGGACAACTTACCAAGGTATGTTAATCTCATTAGTAGCACTTATATATGCTACAAAAATAGAAAGTGGCCAGATTTTGATGTGTACTCTGCAAACATCAGCAAATCACAAATACTGATAGTTGCTATTAGCAATCCTCAATAATTCATAAATGTTTGTGGAATATTATTCATTCAGCTTCTGTTAAACTGAAGTCTTATTCATCATAGCTACATAAATACCTTCTTACAAACTACCGCTTCCTGAGAGTTTGTCTGCCTTCAAACAAATGACAAGCTTAAAGATTATCCATGATCAGTCATCACTGAAGTTCTAATGACCACTAAACACTGGGATCTATATTAGGATTAATTAATTATACATGCACACCAGGTCAAGTGATGAATCCGTAATTTGTAATTTTACTAGCATGCACCTACCCACAAAGAAAGGCAAGTCTTGTGGGAGAAAGCTGCGTCTGGGGACAGTGTGTGTTTTAATGAGACTGCCTTCAGCCCAGAGCTTCAGTAGGATATGCTGAACCTACTTAACATCAAGCCTTAGCTCTTTAGCTGTATTTGACATTTGCAAATCTGGAGCAAAGAGAGGCCAATGCATTCTGTAGCAATACGTCATCATGATGCAGAAGCATGAATCAGAGACAATTCAGTATTTATTATTTGAAGGGAGGCTTGAAAGATCGATAAAATTCAGGCAGTCAGAGAACATTATGATCTCCCTGCAAGGAGCTTATAATATAATAAAAAATTTAACAAAAAGTTGCTGCTTTGGCGTAGATTTTAGGGGGAGCTCTTTTTCTACTCTATTATCTTTTTATCAACCATAATAAGAATGTACTTCTCTGACAGCTAAAAGTTAAAGTTATGCTCAGAGCATTTGAAATGAATAATAGAAAAGAGAGTGTGCAGTGGAGGACAACTGCAATTGTACCAAACCAAAGGGAAAACAGTTATTTAAGACACGTAATGTAAACCACAAATTAATCAGGTTGATCAAATATCATAGCAATGACAATAATGAATACAAGTTTATCGATCTTCCTTTTTCAGATGTCACTAACAGACATATTCTTCAGTGTTGATTATTAATATCTCCAGGACCATTTACAGAGCTGCAGCACTGTGGAAACAGTACTTTGTACAGAATCAGGTTCATTGCCTGTTCTGCAATAATGCTGGAGTCTTAAAATCTCAGATTGGTTTTTTTTTCATAAATATTTATAAGTATTTCAGTTAAAAATTCTTTATCACCCACAAAATGCAGTATGTTGTACAAGTCGTTAACAGTAATGTAGAAAGAAATTGCTGAAGATAAAAAAGAAAATAGAAAAGAAACATATTTAACATTCTCCAGTCATATTAATCTAATTGCCATCTGTATGCTTGCCTCGCAGACTGGAATGCAGCAGCTTTTTGAACTTGGACAGTACACGAGGAAAAGATATTCAAACTTTTTGAACAGCACATACAACCGGAAAGAGGTATAAAGCAGAACTTGTCTGTAGGACAGTTATCTGACATAGCAGAACGTTGGACTCTGTACAAAAAGGACATCATCATATTTCTTTCATTAATGCAAAATCCAGGTAACAGAAGAACCTTGAAAGTCAGACTTTACGTCAAGGTAAAAACATGGAGTCGAGACTTTAACTTTAGGCTTCTACATTCAGTTTGGGTCTTCCACTGACCAGTTTTCCAGGCTTGAACAGCTCCACACCATCTAATAAATTGGATATTTATCCATAGTGACCTAATATTTTTCTACTCTGTTTAAAGATGAGTATATATCTAGTAATGCGATGAGCCATGTTCACGTGTGTCATCCTGTGAACAAGAAGTCTCCCAGTTGTTAGAATGTGCTTGTCACATAGCACAGACTCATTGAGGGGAAACAGCACTACTGTTTTGGTCAGTGTCTGAGAGATGCAATGATGAGAAAGTATAAAAGACTATACCTTTGCCATGCCTCCAAGAGAAGTTTTATTACCCACTATGATTAAAAGTACCTTCATCCTTGAGGTACAGCAGATGCATCAGTGTAACCCTAAACATCAGAAAATTGAAAGCTTCATACTTTTAAAACATATGTTCTTGTTCTTTTTAGTTCAGATGGAAGGTTAGATTCCAAAGTTAAAGATACACTGGCAATTTTGTTTATGCAAATGTAGTAGAGCCTTAGAAAGTTGTGTTATGGTTTCACTGCTCTGATTCTATGCAAAAGCAGAAGTGAAAACATGAAGCCAGGATTGTTGAGTTGTTTCCTCTTTTTTTTTCTTTTGTTGTTGTTTGTTTGTTTTTATTGTTGCCATTTATTTACTAACTCTTTGCCATTTCATTCTCAGTTCTATATCCAAAGCACAGATTTTGACCGTACCATTATGAGTGCCCAGTCATACCTTTCTGGCCTCTTTCCACCAACAAGCAGTCAAATTTGGAACCCTGAGCTCCTCTGGCAGCCAATTCCTGTTCATGTTGTAACAAAATCAACAGATCGGGTGAGTATTGTCTGGATGCTTCCTATAATGCCTTAGGATTTCTCCAAGGGTTTTTTTTTTGTTTTGTTTTATTTTATTTTATTTTATTTTTTTAAAGAAGACTATAGCAAACATTTTATATTCTCTTTGAGTTCAATCTGATAGAAAACATCAACCATAGCTACTGGCTGACACACATATCATAACTTCAGTGTAATAGCTGCATGACCTAAAATCCTCACTCTTGACACATTGCAGAATACCTGATGTGTCAACCACACACATTTTCTTCAAGCTCCAACATTTCTCCTGAAAAGGACATTTTTGGACAGTATTACAAGGAAGCTGTCCAAAAACAGCATAGAGAGGAAGTGCTTTTCTGAATATCATTCAGCTAGATGACATTCCCCTCCTTAGCAAGTTGATTCTTAGTATATTAAGGAATGGGATTTACATCAGCCACTGTAATGACCTCTCAATTATTACTTTCCTGTTCTAGTAGCCCTCTAATTACAGACAGGGGTCCTTTTATGCTGTACAAACACTTAATGAAACTAAAATTTCTCTTACAGTTTGTAATAAGAGCAGTCCCATCTGAATGATTGGTCTTGTCGAAGTTTTGCTGTAAACAGGTCTTCCTGCTGACTCAGGTTTAGATTTTAGTATCACTGGCACCTGTGATAAGGAAAAAAAAGTTGTTGTGCTCAAAAGCAGCTACAAGGAGAAGGGGTTTCCACAAAATTGATTGGGCACAATGCAGTTCAGCTTGAAATTTGCCTATGTTCCTAAACAAAAAAGAATATTGTCACTGTTATTTAAATGAGGAATACTAGGGGCAGTTCTCACACCACAGGACATGTAAAAGCATCAGAATGGCCAGAGCCTTATGTATATAAAATCTCACAGTCCTTACGGTTGTGTAGGGGTACCACAGTGCAGTGCCATGACCTGTTTGGAGATGCAAGCTCATCTGTAGGATGGCCTGGTACCCCCTCACTTCTGAAGCTGCTTCAGAAATGGGTATTGATGTTTCACAGTGTGTGATGAAACCTCACTGAATCAATTCAAAATTCTTGCTAACTATGCAAACCACCTGAAAAAAAAAACAACACTGTTGTCTTGCCAAGCCAGACAGACGTTTGACAGTGTTTTCAAGCCCCAAGCAACACAAAATGGGAAATTGAGGCCAAGTACAATCCTGAAGAAAAAAAGCAACAACCTAATCACAGTTCATTTTTCAGCCACTGAGATCTCCCAAGACCTGACAGGCAGCAGCACTGAAAACTGTTTAATGAGGCCAAAAAGAGTGGCTTAATTAATAAGACAGAAAGAGAAAGACTTGTTATTGTGTAATTAAACAACATTCTCCAGCTTCATTTTGCAGCTTTGAGCCTTCAACCTCAAGTGTGCTGCTATTACAGAGAAAATGCCCCCATGGAAGTGTGTCCAACTGAAAGTGTACTACTGTCAGTTGGTGGCTGCTGCAACACCTCATATTTATAAAACAAAAAGAGAAGCCCTCTATTTACAGTCTGCTGTTGTTCATCGACTGGCAGAGCAGATCTTCTTCCTCTTGCAGTCCTACACAGGCAATAGATATTCAAATTTAGTGGCTTTTACTAAGAGCCCCTGTACAGAGAATTTTTCCACTGTATGTTGAATAAGTTCCATTACACAGTTTGTATTGTTGCAGGATAATATTACTGCTGGGTCAAAAATGCTTCTGATGTGGCATAAATTGGTGAATTTATTTTTTCTCACTGTAATTTTTTGCTGACAGACCTCGTTAGGTATCATCTGGATTAGATGCTTCTGCAACTGGTGTAAAGCATATATTTGCCAGCACACAGTTCAGTGCATATATATGTATTTATACGTGGTTCAGATCAAATATGTACTATTAGGTGACCTCATAATTCATAGACTAGGGTTTATTAAATATGAAACCATGCCCTCAAACAAGAACAGAACTATTAGACTCATGTTTTTTTTGATATTTCAGGAGCACAATTTATTTGTCACTCATATTTCAAGTTCTGTCCATTAAGTAGTTACTTAAAATGCTTACTATAATGCAGTACTTATCTCCAAAAAGCTGAAAGCAGCATGTGTATACTAAGAGGTAATTCAGTAGGTGGGGTCAAGCAGCATCTCCAGGGATTCAGAAATTAAGAGGGAAAGGCTAGGTTTTTAAAATTCCTGATTATGGAACTCTGGTCCATTTCAGAAAACAATTCCCTGACAAATGTGTAACTGCTTCCTGTCAAAATTGGTTAAATTGATGGAAATCCAGCAATCATGGTCACAAGTCCATTTCCTTTGTTAAAGAATTCATGAACAAGGCACCCAAACAAACTGTTACTGAGTCGCTGTAGCAGGGCCATGAACTTATATCACAAATATTACATCAGAAATCTCAGCAAAAGATAAACTAGAGATGCGTTCATTAGTTCTAAAACTATTTTAAGTTTTGCTTCTCTTGTTTCAGAAGCTGCATTTTCCTCTGCGTGGCTGTCCGTATTTTGATGAACTTCAGAATGAAACCCAAACATCTAGTGAATTTCAAAGTAGAATACAACCGTACATGGTGAGACTAAATGAAGAGGAAATGGAAAAGGACTTTAAAACAGAAAATTTAGATTAGACATTAGGAAGACAATCTTTGCTATGAGGATGATGAGGCACTGGAACAGGCTGCCCAGAGAAGCTGTAGTTACACCATCCCTAGAAGAGTTCAAGACCAAGTTGGATGGGGCTTTGGGCAACCTCTCACTAGACACAGTGGGTGCCTCTCACTAGACACCTCTAGTGAGAGGTGTCTGCCCATGGGGAGTGGAACTAGGAGGTCTTTAAGGTCCCTTTCAGACCAAATCATTCTATGATAGCAGAGCACTAAAGCAAGCCCAATCAGGCAAACACTCTAAATTTATTTCAGAGTTGCATTTTAGGTCCATCACAAGACCTACAATGACTTATGTTTTAACCAAACACAAAACTTCACAGTCAGTGCTCCTGAATTTCCCATTGCAGTGCTGCAGAAGAATGTGGATGTACAGATAACATATCTGTCTCATGCAACTGTGTGGACAGAAAATGCTCTGGATTGTGGTCACTGGTGTCACTGCTGTGCTGGTGCACTTCGTAATGGCACTACTGCACAAATGAAGCAGGAGTCTTTTGTTTCCCTTACCCTGGCATTCTCTCTAAGTCACTTCAGGCTTCCTGCTTATGCTTGTTGGGCTAAACCCAACATTTTCTATTTTTATTTGCTTACATCTAAATTTCTACTAGCTCAGCCACTTTAGGCAGACTCATTCACCTGCCAGAGAGGTGAATTAAAACTAAATTGCAGTCCTCTCTCAACTACCAGCATGAAACAGGCAATGTAGAAATAAGGAATATTATCCACTCCCTTTATTCTTCTGTGGTATCACAAACAGTAAGAATCCTCTTGGGAACTGCTGTGGACCTATTACTTAGACCCTCAGCCTCCTTTCAATAGGTGAAGGAAAGTCTAGTTTCCTCCTCCTCGTTGTTGTTTTTTTAATTTTCCATTTTCCCCTCACCCTTTATTTCTCATCTTCCTTTGTCTTGAGTGCCACCTTCTTCTTTACTTCTGAAGGGTGGATGAGATGCAAGTAGCCTCCTGGAGCCGTCAGAAGAAGAGAAGAAGGTAGCAGCAAGAATACCAGACATCCATAGTAAAGCCGAGCAAAAACCAGTGTCTGAAATAGAAATCAGCATCTCAAGATTGTTAAAAAATGAAAACTTCAACCAGAATATTCCTTTATAGGGATTTCATGTGTGTAACATTACATTAAATATTTGCATGTTGTCAGGTTGGATGCTAGTGAATCTGTATGCGTGCATGTTCTGTATGTACTGAGTATTTGTGGTGTTTTTTTCCCCCCAGGATTTTTTACAAACAATGGCAGTTAACACAGGACTTGAACTAAATAATCTTAAAATACTGGACAATTTCCAGCTCTGGAATACATATGATACACTGTACTGTGAGGTAATAACAATGCAATAAGTGTTATAGGAAGAAAATAACTCCAATATATGTTTCAGTTAAACAATATAAATGTGGTTCCTTAGAAAAGAATTACCCTCTATCCTGAATTTGCTTATTTTTTTAACTTTGAATCTAAATCCTCATTTAGTGCAATGGTGATAGATACTCCAAGAACATAGCTTACAGCTTTCAAAACTCTTGTCTTCTTTTGATGTTTTACCATAAGGAACTGATACCAGAATCTACTCCCTTTATTCCTTTTCTTTTTTTTTTTTTTTCCCCTTTCAAATATGTTGCTGTATATTTTCTTTGAGCATGCTGGCTGGGTGATATTGATTTTTAACAAGAAAATTATTATTTTTTTTAACCTATTAAAAGGCAAATATCAAAATGCATGCATATTGAAAATAAAAGGTAAAAATTTGTTCTGTAAGATAGAAAACTGATCGCTGCAGTGAACAGTCAGACTGGTCCCAAGCATGGGACAGTTCTGTATTTTAAGACACAATCACTGTTAAGTGACAGTACAGTGACACTTGTCTGTTAGCGACCAGTGATGTGTTAGAACCACTGTATGGAAAAGGCGGGACAATCTGGAGCTAGATTATACCCTGAAGGGCCACTATTAGGGGACAGGAAGAGGGTAAGACATGTGCCTGCAATTTGTCACACTAACAGAATAAAAAAGTGGTACTGTTACAGTAATAATACATGGTGCCTCACAAGAGATTACCTCAGCACAGATGATTGCCCACTTCCTGTTCATCCACTTCAGGTTGATCCCTATTTCCACAGAGGGTATTGCATGGAACGCTGATGAGAAAAACCATAATGGACAAAGATATGCAGGACAGCCTCAGAGAGTCCAGATGTAGTAGTGTGAGGCTGGGCAATAGAAAGATGGGAATGTAATAAAAAAACATTGCTTTCCTTTCTCACTAGAGTATTCACAATTACTCTCTGCCTGTATGGGCCACCAAAGATACAGTGGGCAAGATGGAAAAACTGGCAGAATTGGCCTTATTATCACTATTTGGAGTTTATAAAACAGAAGAGAAATCACGACTACAAGGAGGTAAATAAAAAATGCTTCACTCCCAGAAAGAATGAGAGAATGCCTGTAACAACATAGAACATCCTGTCACCTTATTTATGAAAAATTATTAATCACAACATTGGTTTGTAACTGTGGACATTGGATGCTGCATTAAATGTGATAACATATGCTGAATATGGGGATTTGCATGGGTTAGGCATTAAAAAAAAAGGTTTACATAAACATCAATGTCTTTGTTATCCTATAGATTTTAGGAAATCAAAATTTTGAGGAAAAAGAAACAAGGAAAAAAATTTAAGACATTGGTATCTTTACTTCTCTGATATTTGTTTAGATTAAGTGTAAGTTATTTATTTTAGATGTTTCTTGATCTTTTTTTTTTTTCCTTTGATGCACTGTTTTTATATTGTGCCAGAACCTTAGCAGCACCCTGATAGCTCTCTCAGAACCTGATGTAAAGTTGCTTCAAAACAGTCTGATCAGAGTGGAAGATGAGAGATTCAATTTATATTTCTAACTGCAAGAACTAACACTTCTGCTTCGCTCCAGATTTGGGTGCACAAGCTACGCACATTCTGACTATACAGCAGCATAAGACACAGGCATTCAGTGTATGGTTCACAGGTATCCATGAGCAGGAAAACTGGACAAGTGAGCTTGAGTATCCAAAGTCTGGACTGTCTGGGGCTATGCTTTGCAGTGCACCTACTCAACAGTCTAGACCTAGTTAAAGATTAGCAACCTCATTATCTAGTCATACACATCACTGGGTGAAGCCATTAAAAATTACATGCTCAGATGTGAAGTTTGCTAGCTGGCAGCTGACGGTAACATGAGGTCAGAACTTCTTTTTTGTGTTCTTTTTTGTGCTTTTCCCTTAGGATGGTATAACTTGTGCTGAAAGGAATTTCAGCTACCCTTGTTCTATTGGCTTTGGTGTGTCTCTGGTTTGGACAAGAAGTACAAAAGGTCTTTGATAAAATCAAGAATTGATACTGAGTGACTTGTGAAAGTAAATAGTTAAAAATATTTCTTCAGCATCTAGAGAGGAAGCGGCTAGTGCAGCTGTCATTATTGCAGCACTCCAAAGAGATAAAAACAATGGAGATCTCAGCAGAACAAAGCTGGAAGTGTCATTGGCCATAAATCTAAAGATCATTCTAGCTGATTTCTGTAAATCCAGTCACTTCAGTTGGCCTGGATGATGAATGATACATTTAACCTTCCTTTGCTCTGTTTTCTCACTAGTTGTGAACTTGGGATGAGCTAAAAAATGAGTATGAGATCTGAGTAGATGTGTTCTGTTTGACACTCAAAACCCTTTACTTTTTTTGGTTGTATGCAAATGTTATATCTTCATTTTCCTCTTCTTTTCCCTTCCATCTTTTTAAGGTGTCCTTGTGAATATTATTTTAAATAGTATTAAGCAAGCTACCAATTCTTCAAAAGAAAGAAAAATGGAGGTCTACTCTGCAGTAAGTATCCTCACTTTTTATAAAAATTTCTACCATTTCACTAGTAAGAAGCTATGAAAGAAAATAATCAGTCTCCATGTAAGTTAAATGAGTAAATATATACAGTTCAGTTATACAACCCAATTCAGCTAATAAGCTCAACCCAGGGCAGTATCAGAATATAGCAGGACAAGGCTCACACCTGTTTCAATCAAACTGTACGTGGTAAAGATATCTGTGTATTATATCCTTTCATCCTGCGATTTTTTGTGCAGTTTATGTAAGTTGCATCTTGCCTTAAGTGCTCCTTATCCAGAGATGTGGATACACAGCAAAACTCCAGCTTTCCTTCCAAACGCTTCCTCTTCTTAGAAAAGGATAGTACACTGAATATTCTTTCTTCTTACTTTTTAAAATTCCACTTCATGTTGTTTTAGAGGACAAAGAGGGCCGTTTGGGTCAGATCAGGGTCCACTCAGCTCATACATTATCCTGACTCTGTCAGTGAGCAGCAGCAGGGAAGAATGTGAAAATAATACCAGCATGGGGTGATGCTTTCCCTGATGCAACCTCTCAAGAAACTGTGGTTTATGAACTTCCTGAGTCAGAGTCTTTGTCTATGCTTTTAATAACTCTCAACAGACATTTTTTCATCAATTTATCTAATTGCTTTTAAAATTCATTTAGCTTTTGGCATCGGCAACACCCTGTGGCAATGACTTCTAAACTGGTGTGTTAAAAGAAAAAAAAAGTACTTCCATATTTATTTATTTTTCAAAACTTTATACTGATTTAACTCCCTCCTAGCATTTCTATTGTGGCTAAAAGAGAACAGACATTCTTTATTCACTTTCTCTGCTTCACTTACGAACGTACTATTTTCTGTCTCGTTTCTTCCATTTTTCCTTTCCCTAACTGCTTTAATCTTTCCTTTTTTAGGAGCTGCATAGCACCACGACTTTTTCTGGCTGCCTTTTCTGTGTGTTTTCTAGATCTACTATGTTCTTTTTGAGAAGGAAGTACAATATGCATCCAGAATTTTCATTGCTGCTTTAAAGCCTTGGGACCATATATACCCTTATTTTTGAAACTGATTACTCTAGGAAGTTCAAGATCTTGCATAATAATTAAAATGCAGAAGTTAGACTATAATACAGAGAAGAGGGACTACAATACAGAGAAGAGGTAATGGGGAGAGGAAGAGACTGCAGGTGGATGATTGAGGTTAACTGATTGTCAAAAATAGAAGCCAAACTGAGATTTTATTGTGTAAGTCAGAACAGAAGAAACAGCAGTTTAAAAAGTTCTGAGTGTATACGGAGGTGAGGAGAAACAATCTTTGCGTGCAAATATTTTGTACAGTATTCTTCAAAGGACTTGGATTTTAATTTGAAATGCCTTCAAGTATACTGCCCTGTACAGCCTTAACTTGTTCTTGGAACCAAAATTCATTCCTGAGGGCAACGATAGCAAAATGCCTGGAAAAAAAGGATTTATTTCTCAGACCAGATCATGCTTTCCCTCATTATTTCTTCTGAAGAAAGTATTGCCAGAAGATGTCATATACATACTGCGGTACCTCTATGGAAATGGCCACTGCTGTCTGAAGTAATCTGTAAACATTTTGCCTGATAATGAATACTCTGAATGCATTCTGACAGTCAAATTTACACAGGTTTTATTTTACCTGGATTTCTACCCCTTCTCTAGTCTTTCCTCATTATTCTCTATAAATGATAGTTCATTTTACTGAATTTCAGTAATGGTTTTGTTTTGTTTTTTTTTTTTCCCTAATAGCATGACACCACAATTGGGGCCATCCAGATTGCTCTCAATATTTTCAATGGAAAACTGCCACCATATGCTGCTTGCCAGTTTTTTGAACTCTACCAAGATAACAGCGGGCAAGTATCCTCTTACCTATGTAAGAATAAGGAGTATTTAGAAGTTGGTTCCCTTTTCCTGCACATCATTTTCTCTCAAATACTCTGAGGGGATACAAATTTGCTTTAAACTGGTATTTCACTGAGTAGCCAAAACAGGCACAAAAGTTATATTAAAACAGGAAAAATCACATTTGTTGGATATGCATATATCTGTGTGCTTTGGGACACCAGAAGAAAACAGTCCTTACCAACTGGAAGCAAGCGGTAAATCAAACTTAACTGTTCAAATGGTAGCAACATCTCCCAGGTATCTCACAAATCCCAAGTAAACCAGAGGGTTTAGAAGAGACTAAAGGTTTCAAAAGGACCTTCTGATCTGACTGGTGATCTGTGTGGTAACTGTCTTTGGCAAACTGTCTTTCATATGTCTCTTAGAAAACCTCCATTCTTCAAGAATGGGTTCTAGAGTAGGGTGCTAGAACCTGTTTGCAACATTCTGCCTGTTGGAAATCTTTTATTTAAGAACTTTTATTTAAGTTTTTAAAAAATCTTCTCAATTTCATTAATCAGGCGGTACAGCATTGAAATGCATTATCGGAATGACTCTTCAGTGGATCCTTACTTACTCACTCTGCCAGGATGCACCTCTTCTTGCCCACTTGAGAAGTTTGCTGAATTAGTTTCTCCTATAATTACCGAAAATTGGTCAAAAGAATGTGGGAATAAAGACAGAATGAAAGGTAGTGTAACAGCACTGAATTTTCTGAGTAAGACATGGAAGCAGAAATTGTATCAATGGCCACAAAATTTGTATCTTTCACGTGATAGGTTGATCTCCCTTTAACAGATGTGCACCAGCTTTACTATGGGTGAAGAAAGCAGATTAAATTAAATTTCTGTAAGGATGTAAAGGATAGACTTGTTCGACAGCAGGAAGGCAGTGCTATTATTATGATTATGATTATTAGCACATTTGCATGGGGAGCTTCCATCACTGCAAGTGTACAACAGAAATAGAAGTCATATAGGTGCTATGCAAGGAGTCCTGTGTATGCTGGATTCATCAGAGCTTCTGTAGATGCAAAACATAAATGGCTTGCACATGCACAGTAAGATTTATGCATCTGAATCTCTGGCACATGTACTATAATACCTTAGCCTTCACTGTACACATGCAGCGCAGTTGATCTGTGCAGTCAGAGCAGCTGTTTTTCTTGAACTACCAGCAGCTGACAGCTGATAACCTCTGCCAAATTCTTTTCTTCCTTCCTGAATGTTATTTTCAGGAGGGCAAGGCACCAACTGCCACGTTCCATTAGTCATAGTATATTTCTCCCATCCTGAATATATGCAAAGTTTTGCTGATCCCTGATGAAACTCTTGGTATGCATTAACTGTCACTCCTCCCCTGTGAAAACCTAGAAATAAGATCTGGCCATTTGCAGGAAACTGTGTGTGTGCTTTCAGGATTAAGGTGTATGTTTTCAAATTTAAATGTAACACAGACTACGGACCTTGATACAAATATGAAAGTTCAACTATGAAAACATTTCCATGGCACATACTTTTCATTAGACCGTTATCTCTGTATGTAAGATAACATACACATGTCTCTCCTTAACACTCTTTTCCTTTATTTTTTTTTCTTTACAGATATCTATATTGGATTTGATGTTGCTGTTGGCTTGTTGTTCATATTCAACCTTGTTCTACTCTATCTCCTTTATCACTATGGACGCTGCAGGCGCAGAAACAATTACCAAGACATTTAAAAAAGAGGAGAAGAGATAAAAGTGAGCAGCTAGACATCAGGCAATTCTTTAAATTGCTCTGGCTTGTATCCATCAGTTTGCTCTGGCCAAATACATCTCCAAAGCATATTCCACAAACTTGAAGAGCTGAGGTTTCACTCCTAAAAGACTGAGTATCTCCAGTGAGAAACACTGCAGGAAATTATTATTAAGAATATAAATTGGTAGGAAGAAAGAATTACTTCAGTTCCTACCAGGTTTTTCACTACTGTTAAACATCATTAAGCCAGCCATCCATGAGGGTGAAGGAGTACTATTGCTTATGATTTTTTTTTTCTTTTTATTTTTTTTTTCTTTTTTGGGAGTGGGAATTGCCTTCTGCTCCTCCCTTGTCCTGCTCAAGGAGTCTTTTTTCAAAAATCACAAATTATAATATCTTTCTTACTTCTTATAAACAACTGTTTTGATGATGCACAGGAAAATGTTTTCAGTGAGCAGAAGCTGCAATTACCGTGTGAAAAATATTGATACCAGCACTTGAACATACTGTTTATTTTTATTACATTTATTCATGCAAATCCATGCATGGGTTTACAGCTTGGCCTCCAGCTAATAAAAGCCCACTGCCTGTTTTTAAAGGAGTTATGCTACTACAGCTCTCACAGAAATTTGTAGAAATCTGGGGGGGCTGTCACAAAAATCAAGCATCAACCAAGAAGCTTAGTGCAACAGGATCTTTGTCAGTGTCCACAGATTTGCTAATACAGATAAGTAAATACACTGAAATCTATTTACTTTGGCAGTGTTCTCTTCCTACTTTGCTGAGCTCCCATTTATGGATGACGCTTTGCCCTACGCCTCTGATGAGTCTGTATCCTGTCCTGCTTCAGGACACTGATATAATCTTAGTTCTCTCAGCCATGCTTCCTCCAGCTATTGCTTTCCTCATTATTTTAATTTACAATAACTTCTTGTCCTGCTCAAAATCCCTTGTTAGTAATATATGCACTAGAAGAAAGAAGACAATTCTGCTTTACGTATATTGATCTCTTCTGTGAAATATATTGTATTTGTTTAGATTGTGAGCTCCCAGTGGTAGGGAATCTGTTACCGTAATTGCTCTCTAGTATCATAAACTACGATTATATGCACTGATGTTGTTGTATGAAATAGTGCTTATTGCCATATGTTTCAAGGACTGAATCAAGATTTTCATCCTGCAGTCCTGCAGAGGATACTGTGCATTACATTACCATGAGGAAGCCTTTTGAAAAATCAGGACATTTATACAGACAAGTGCCAACAGCAAGTTCAGCCTGATAGAAACACTAAGCAACTGTGTGCTCAAGATGATGACTTCCACATAGGTGCAGAAGTCTAGAGATGGAGCTGCTTAAATCACATACAGAATCACATCTATGTTTTGCACTGTTTCTGGACTGACTTTAGCACAGATCTGTGTGCTGCAATTTGGAACACAGAAGCTTGAGTCAACTACTACAAATCTACAGAATCCCTCAGTATTACATCAACAGACATATTTCAAATGGGATGTAATTAGATGTATGGATATTAAATGGCATAAATAAAGCAAAATTACAAATACTTGTGGGAATACAGGGCTTTCCAAACATCACTATTTTTTCCTGCAGAGGTATTCACCTTTTGAAGAAATATTTCCCACTCAGTAAAAAGCTTTTGCTACTATCCCTGACATTTCTATTTCATCCATTTTAAGTGATGGATTTGATTCCTACATGGTAAAGATTTTTTGTTGTACAACAACTCAGGGTAAAATACTAAAAAAAAAAAAAAAAAAACAACAACAACAAACCTATCTGTAAATCAGATGTTTTGTATTTACAAGCTTCAGATTTTAACTAGTTGCTCTGATCCTCACTGCAAAAACTTAATTGTTTATGTTGTAATCAGAAGTATTAGAGAAGCTCTACAGAACAAACCTGAACTGGTTTCTTAGCAGTAGACTCAAAGTAGGGCAGAGCTCAGCACAAACTGCAAAACAGATCCTGACTCCTAAATATGTATTCTCAGTGACTACTAGATGCTGAGCTCTATTAGCATGACCACAGAGCTACTGACACTCACTTAAGGACAGATTGGGTATGGTTGTTTTTCTTTTTACCAGAAGCAGTCAGATCCTTGACAAATGAAGATGTATCACTGACTGATAAACTGCAGCAAGAACTGTTCGTAAGATATCACACAGCCAGTCAGTACACAGAGCAGAACGGAGCAGGTTTTTCTGGCATTGACTCTTAGAAAATGAAGCACATCCAGGTAGAAAGTAAAATGCAAAGTGCCTGAGACATCTTTTGTCATCCTTAGCTGTTTCAAAGGATTTTAAGAGATGAGGTAATTCTAGTCGCAGCAGACACTGTCAGAATTTTATTGTAGAAACACCTGCTTTATTAACAAGTCATACCTGGAAATGCCTATCTACTTTTAGAAAGAATCCAGTGACTTCAAGTTACACAGAATGTAATGGATAGATTCAGATGTAACTTCAGAATTAGTGAAGTTACAATAGAGATGTGATACATTTGCAGTTTAGGTCTCAAATCTCATTTTTAGTAAAGAGCCTTTGCCTTGTTTGAAGTCAGGTGGAGTAAAAGATTGCAAAAAGCTCATGGTGTTTTGTCTTTTTTTGATTTTTACAAATTGCACAGCAGAATCTGTTGACTCTGATTAGAAAATATCTTGTCTCCAAACAGTTTGTAGCACTGAAATAAAGTATGTTAAAGAAACAATGCATTTGTAATTCTATTTGAGTGAAAAGCAATGGAGCTTTCAGCATGCCTATAATTTGCAAACCAAAGTGAATGCTTAAAGTGTTGCTTCTTCTGTAAGAACAGACTTTTAAAGGTGATACTTTGGCATAAATAATGCTAACGTTGATGACATCAAGCTCTTTCATTTGCCCTCTAGCAGTGACATCATCTGCCTCTGCTATAATCACAGTAGCAACTGGCAGCTCTGCAGCAGGGTTTCCTGGAGTGCGTGGCAGACAGCAATGCTTACACAGCATCTTCCAGCTCTGTCAGCAACAACCTTCTCCTACTGAATTGATTTTGTTCTGGAATTTGTTTATTCAGAGTCCTAAACATTGTACAAACTGGGACAGTACAGCATAGCTATTTGTCTTTAGTAATACCAGCTCACTCCAAGGCGTTTGTTTCATTTGTTCCTGTAACATAGGGACACTTGATCCTAAGGCTACTATTTCTTCTCATTAAGTGCATTTTCTTAAATATGGTAAGATACAGAAAACAGAGTAACAGATACATGGTACTAAAAATACATGTATCAGTTCAAAACATCAAATCCCAGATGATAAAGGTTTTATTTCTACATTCTTTTCCACAAACAAAAAAATGCTACAATTTTCACTCCTTGAAGAAGAAAGATTTACAGACATTGAATCTGAATAAACGATGAAGGCAGAAGCTGGCTTATTCTCAGACCTATCATCTTGTCCTGTATAAATCCCTGATAAAGTGATGTCAGCAAAACTGCATAGGATTGCACTGTTGGCCTGAAATGGCTGAAAAACCTTAAAGCATTTCTTTTAAGGGAAGATAGAGATGAAAGGTGGACATTTACCTACAAAGGAATAGTTTTGTTGACTTATATGACAGGGCTTCTTTATCAGAAGCTGCTAACTATTAATACGCAAAAAAGACCAAAACAAAACAAAAGCAACAAAAAAACAAACAAACCCACAAAGCATCACCACCACCAAAAAGCCATGAATTGTTACTGAAGTAACAGATCATTTCAACAATTACACTGCAAGGTCTCTTCTATGACTAGGTAACTTCATTCCTAAAGTGACTTTAGCTCTGGCAGAGTCTGCAAGACCACATCTGGGAGTTCAGGTACAATATGAAAGGCAGCTACAAAAACACATCTGAAGTCCAGTCATGCCAATTTGTGTCATTTCTTTTTAAGTAGAGGAATGCCACTACTTTCTCTCCCAAGACTTAAAATACACTGCCAAAGCCATCCTTTCTGCAGACTGAAGTTCCAGCAATCTATTGAAAGAAATCTGTGAAGAAAGTAAAGACATATTTTTCAATCAAAGTAGAGGCAAAAGAAAAGTCTTGGCCCCAGCTCTTTTTTTTTTTTTTTTTTTTTTTTTTTTTAAATGCATATTTATCTGAAGCCACATCCATGTAAAAAACATTAATGACTCTGTGTCCTGGTTATGGCAGCTGAACTTCTTGTCTTCTTTTCACAGGACACAGCAGTTTTGCTAGCTCATCAATCATAGAATCATAGAATGGCCTGGGTTGAAAAGGGCCACAAAGATCATCTACTTTCAACCCCCCTGCTATGTGCAGGTCACCAACCATCAGACCAGGCTGCCCAGAGCCACATCCAGCCTGGCCTTGAATGCCTCCAGGGATGGGGCATCCACAGCCTCCTTGGGCAACCTGTTCCAGTGCCTCACCACCTCTGTGTGAAAATCTTCCTCCTAATATCTAACCTAAGATACTACAATGCTACAGAAAAGAATGGTTATATGCAGCACAATCATAAAGGCTTTTCTTCAGTAAGATGAGAATTGAAAGGATATAGGGAGTAAAAAACCTTATTATTTGTGTTGTAACTTGAAGTACACATAGGTAAGGACATGTCCTCTATTTTCCATGGAATCATTAATCACAATAGCACTTTGATAAATAATTACAGACAGGCTAGTAAAATCCCATTGGAATAGCTCACACAAGTATTGAGCTGAGGACATTTCCAGTACTTGGAAGCTGAGCTTCTCAATTCTTTCAATTCCAAGAGATTCTTCTGGCTGGCTCCCAGGAAGCAGCAAGAGCTGAATCGGATCTGAAGACTACTTATTTTCCAGAAGTTTTAAACCACATACACCTAAAATGAAAATGGATGTGAGCAGTAAACTACAGTTTGCTGTTTCACAGTTTTTTCACCCGTGCAATTCAGACCAAAGTACTTTCACAAAACAGTACACTTCCTCCAGAGCAGACAAGTTAAATTAACAATTCAAAAATAATACGTTGCATTATCATAAAAAGATGAAAAAAATTGCTGCTGACTGAAGCAGCTCTTTGTGAGAATTTTGTGTACCCTCTGTAATAGGCTGGCAGAAGAGAGATGTGTCAATCGACCTGTGCATAAGAAACAGAGAAAGACTTTTCTTGATAAAGGAAGATCTAGATCAAAAATACTTCATTTAAGTAAGTACATGAAAATTCCTTTCTAACAAATAAAAGCCTAGTTATTTCTTTACTGTTTGGAAAGTTGGCAAAGACAGGATAACTTAAGCTGGAAGTGTGGTGGGTGGTCAATCTGCAGCACAGTTATTGAGTTGTCTTTTTTTGTGAGGCTATTTGCTCTCACCTCTGTACTACTGGTGGGATGAAGGAGAGGTATATTAAACTGTACTGAACAATATGAGCTGCCTTTACTTACACTTGCATGCTTTAACCATCAAAACCATCTGGTCATAAATAGAGAATCAAATTGTTCTTTTCTCCCCTCAATTCTTCATTCTAAAGACGACACTTGAACACAGTCTCTACTAATTGTTATCTCCCTGTTTCTGACCACAAACTTAAGAATATTAATATTGCAAAAATCCATTAGCTGAGTTGCAGCTGCTTTTGTTGGTCTGTTTGTCTGGTCGATGTTTCATTATGATATGAATACCAATTTTCTGCAAAGACTCCATCGTGAAATGCTGCTTTCATTAATGACTGTCTCACTTGAGAAGAAAGAAACCCATTTTCTGCAGGATTGCAGGTAAGCGTACAGTATACAGAGTACAAGTACTTAATAACCATTTACTTGATGCTTCAGAGAAGTGTACCTGAAGAAAATGTTAGATTTCCATAAGCAAAGCTTACATCATCAAAAGCAGAGTTCTAAACATTCTTCTATGCCTGAAAAAGTAACTGCCACTTTATGTGCAATCTGACTCTTCTTGAATGTGTCACTTTCTAATGACATATCTTTCTCCTTTGGGATGTAGATCTGAGTATATTTATTATCAGTAAAACCACAAAAACTCATATAAAGCTCTGTGGCGATAGGTCTTGACTGTTTGAGTGAGAGACCAAATAGCCTGAAATCACAGTGACGAAAGTACAGCCCTTGAATCAGAAAGGTGTTACAGTCCCTGCCTGTTCAAAGAAGAGCCAAAGACAACTGCAAATACTAAAGGAAGAGTCATAAAATCGTATGAATTTTGGAGGTTGCCAATAAGATCCACACTTTATTATTAAACTTTTGATAATAAGGTCTCCCTTCAGGAAATGACTGAATGGTCCTGAAGCTATTCTTTCTGTTCTCCTAGCATCTGTGTATCTCCTAGCATTCTGTGAAAATCTGAGATTATTTTTTTTCCAAAAATTCTCCCAAAAATGGAAAACAAAATTTCCATTATGTGGTTATACATGCATTGAGCTGTAGTAAATGCTGTGACAAGGTCATTCAGGATTTCCCCTGAGTCTGAAGAATAAGTGTGTATGAGGGAGGAAAGAGAGGAATGGTGCACATTTGGACACTGTATCCTCAGACTAATCTTTCATTTATATGCTAAGGAATTGATGCAAAACTGATAGCAGATTAGAACTGCAAACAGAAAGGAACACAACCAAGCTATATGCTTTATCTTGTACAGTTTGTAAAGTTATTCCATTATGTTTCAAGAAATATATAAGTAGAAGAAAGCACCTTAAAGACTAATGGCATAGTTGTAGCCTAAACAATGTGGTAGAAATGTTAAATCGCCCGAGGAGGAAAGCACAAATAAGTCTCTGCATACATACAATGTCCCAGTGAGCATGAATAGAGCCTGAAGGATCAGTCCCAGAGGCCAGCTTAAATGTAGATGCAGTGGAAGATGTATTATTTTAAAAATACTATGAGATTAATTAAAATGTAATCGTCACAATGTTTGATTACTTTGTAATAATGCTTTTCCCATTACTGAAAACTTATGTTTATACATTCTTTTGCTTTTAAATTTTGTTTAGTGATAAATCTATCTGTGGATAATTTGGTGATTATCTAAGGATACCATTTTTGCAGAGTGGACAGGCAGCTCCCCCAAGTGTTTGCCAACCACTGCTATGGATTGCAGCAGTGGGTCTGTGCCCTGCTTTTATACAAGAGCCCAGTCCTGCGTGGCCAGTGAAATGTCTCTGTATGTACTAGATACTGCCTTGACAGTCAGCAAACAAAAGCATAAAACCCTATCTGTTGGAGGAAGCACCACAAGCTTCTTTTACAATGAAACCTGTGAGACAAAAGCTAAGAGACAAGGTATTTCTCTAATTACGT